TGCTTACTTTTCACGAAAATCTGGCACGTCGGGAACAAGTTAAACGGTGGCAAGCGGTTTTTCGGAATCGCTCGGCAACGGCCACAGCACTGTTCACTTGTGGGATGTCTCAATGTCTCTTTGGAGACATTGAAAGTGGGAATTCATTACTAGTCAAAGGCAAAGCGAGGCTTGCAGCATCCTTGTACTAGAAAGTTTCGAAAAGCAAAAAGAAAAGCGCCTTTGTCTTGTGTACAATTTCGCATTGCACTGCAGTAGTTACGTGTTTCGCCAGTCGGAGACTGCTTCCATTTATTATATTATATAACTACGGTAGTCAACCTACTAGCTTATTTACTGATAGACCAGCTTATTTACTAATAAGCTGGTCATTTTCAAACAAATTTTAATATGTGCAGTTTGGTTCTTATTTATCAATAACGGTACATATATATGTATAATTTAACTGAAGCATTGCAAAATGTGTCATGTCATTGGCATTTCAGTTACATGTTGAAAGACACCCAGGTGGTTGAACTTGACCATAATTTGTTTATTGCGGCGAGTGAAGTGCCTTTTGTTCGTCCAGCACTTAAAACAAATATTTTTATTTTTTTAAGAATATTTGCTCCAAAAACCACATTTGCTGCTCCGAAACACTGTTCTGGCTGCTCCAAAAGCAACTTTTGTTGCTCCAAAACACTGTTTTACCTGCTCCAAAGGCCACTTTTGCTGCTCCAAAACACCGTTTTGGCTGCTCCAAAAGTTGCTCCAAAACGGCTTAGGCCAATCACATCACTGCAATATGCAATAAATTCAGCTTAGAGCAAAGCGCGGGCTCTGCTCACCCGGTGTAGAGTGTGCTACCCGATGCAAAGGAAACAGCCGACAAATCCAGCTCAGGCCTTGGATTGTATTAGATTGGATTGAATTGAGGGTGCGACACTATGCTAGATCCAGTGAGAGCTACTAGATATAGTAACTAATGGGAAAGCTGCAGACCCAATCTATTCGGAGCCTTAAGCCGAAAGCATCCGAAGGTGTGCATCTGGCGGCCATGCCGCCATGCAGGCATGCTGCCATTCGCTTATGAACGTGTGTGGTTGAGCGTCCTGTTTTCATTGTGTTTCCGGAAGTGGTCTCTTCACTGACGACGTCGGCGGCAAGAAAGTACTTGTTTAATCCGTACTGGACGAACCCAAGTATTTCGGAATATGCAAGTTGGATTAAGGCTGTGCAAAATTATCCTCACAGTGCTCAATGCTCAATGCCTTGTGTTATAATGGTGTTACCGTAAAATACTGGGCGAGCGTTCACTCAAACTTTGGAGATAATCACAAAAAAAAAAAAATGGGGGATGGGCGCTTTTCCGGTCTTCAATTTTACACATAAATGTACTGTGCGTATCTTCTCAGATCTTGCAAATTTGGTAATGGGCGCTTAATGTGGAATGGGTGGATCCGCGGTATTCTATGGTGTATATTTAACCGCCTCTACAGTGGTCAGGGAATTTCGCCTGAAATTGTCAGGTAAAACCTGGAAAAGTCGGGGAATTTCAAAATAATAATTTGCTTGACACCCTGAGTATATTACAATGCAGAGCTGCCAAATTTGGTTAATAAGATCGGTATGAAACAAAAGAAAAAAAATCCTAATAATTACTACTATGCTCGACGTCAACTACTTTGTGCTGCTGTGGAATCCACTTGTAACGATAATGAGACAACCCGAAAGTTCAATCGTTATAACCGATTATCTTAAAATCTGTATCTGGACTAGAAACTCTATAAAACTGATCGTTATAAGCAGCCAATCGCTTCATGTGGTATCGTTTTAAGTGGATTGCACTGTACATTGTCAAAGTTAGCATAGCTGCTGCAGCCCCGCACTACTGCGAGAGCACACGGCTTTTTTCTTGCGTCTCATTTGCATGCTTTTGCACAATTGGCTTTGGCAGAGTTTGAGTACTGCAAGCTGTACGCTAGCCTTCACATTGTAACACTATATAGTTGATGCTGAGTGTAGAGGCATTATGTACTTGGGATGATGATGGTCGCTTTAACAAATACTCAACAACTGTTACTGTGTCCCCGATATCTTGTGTCTGGGACGTGGCGTAGTGCGTGACTGAGGCGCTCATCGCTTCTTCTAAACTGCTGTGCATGTGTCTCTGATGTGGTTCAGATGCAAACTTGGCTTCCTTATAGTTCCATTTCGCATTTATTAGTTCTTTTCAATGGGTCCAGACAGTCATGGGAAGTATATAAAACTTTGTTCTCATAAGTTGTTGTCAGTAATAAAGTTCTTTTAGTACCTGCAGCATTGTTACTGAGGGGGAGTGGGGGAGAGCGCATGCAACTAAAAACCGTACAAGTAGTTCATTAAAAAGATATGTCAGTAGCTTCGACGTAGGATTGACATACCATGGCTATTCATTCCAACCGCAAGCGGTTCAAGGGAACATGCGACGTAGTGATAGCGGCACCTTCACGATAGATCACTCGCACGTTTTAGCGGAAAATCTCACCAAGAAGAAACGTTGGGCTCTTGCGAGAGGGCCCATTGCTTCAGCATTGGCTCAGACAACAGCAACATGTTTGGTTTGGCGATTCTTCTGTTGCAGTAGGCGTGCGCAACAATCGACCTGGTTGAGCCAGGGGAAGTTTATTTTTATTTATTTTGAAATACTGTCGGCCCACATTAGGGGCTAGCTTAGTGACATCCGGGGTCTGTTTCTGGTGCCTGTTAGAATCTCGTCAGTCCTTTGGTCGCCGACAAAGTGAGAAATGCAGCATGCGCTCGTAATTTTTGGTTGTTTGGTTGTGCATAGGCTGCGCGTGCTGGCTCGAGGCTAACAATACGCCAAAGAGTTGTCGAAGGTGTGAGCTTGCGCGAGATGCGAGACAACTGAAACTCTTTTTTGCCGGTCTTATCCCGTCTTTGACTGTAGTATCCTTCACCTAAAGCAGATATTTTTGCTTCTACGACGGTCTTCGAAACAGTGGCTATGATGTTAGATTGCAGTCCAGAAAATGGAAGTTGAGCCCCTAACAACCTGATTTGTAAACAGTGGCCTTTTGCTTCTTATGGTCCATGAATCTTAATGGCTGATGTGGTGCAATGTTTGCTGTGAACCGTCGGAATGCACCAGAATCAATTTTGCTCTTGTAACTTTTGTAGCAAACCACCGACTTCGAGTATTTTTATCTTTTCTTTTCCTATTTGTACTGCTGATCCTTTTTGAGACCGTAGCAGGAGCAACTTTCTTTGAAAACAGATCTTGTAAAGCACTTGCTACAACCAAGCTTTGCACAAGTTAGAAGAGGACAGTGTTTGTGACATCATGCAGTAAGAGGCTGTACTACTTGGGTACAGTTAGATAAAGGCTTGAAAATTTTCCTATATACCCTGTTGCCTTGTTGAAATAGAATGCATTTCTTTTTTCTTTTTTTTAACACTTTGTAGCAAGGAGTTAGAGGATGAAGGCTGTAAGAGTAGGTCTTCTTCATTTCGTAACACCATGAGTTTATAGCTGCTCGCTGCAAACTCATGAACAGCCTGAAAAATATGTTATACGTATGCGAGTTCAAGTTCATGCACATTCCTCAGCTCAAACGAGCTAGACTTTTTCCCTTTTCATTAAACCTTTAAAAGGGACCCCACCTTGCTCAGGCTCAGAAAGCATATGCAACACAAAGCTTTATAATAGATAGCCCCTTTATGTGTTGCGGGGGGCAAAGGAGGCCGGGCTTCAACCAATTGATGAAGTCTTTCAAGACTGCGCAGCAAGTTTTTCAAACTGCCTCGTGCTTTTTTTTTTCTCCTGACAAATCCGCCATGCCTCTCCCTTCTGCACGAGCCCTGAGAACCCAGGGCTTATCTAATCAGCATTCCTCAGAGGAGGAGGAGGGGAGAGAGGGAGGGAGGGGGAGGGGCCCGCTCTTTGCCCAAGACAGAGTTATCTCTCTGTTTCTACAATCACCTGTACCTTGCCTCTGACGCCAGAGTTTGAGGAGGGAGGGAGACGAAGAACGGAGGAAGCGACGCTGGCAGAGTCTTTGCTCCGGTCCGCCATCGCTTGCGGAGCCCACTCGAGGCACCGTTATTCTTGAGGACCGCGCGGGGAAGCGAAGATCTGTTTGGAAGTGAGGGCTCCTTATCCAGAAAGCGGCGTGGGGACGCCGGTATCTGTCCTCTTCAGATCGGTCTCGATGCCTCACAGCATTGCAGGATCTCAAGATGTCCTTTTCTCAAGTGTCTCGACGTTCAAAGTATGGTCCTCCTCCTTTTTTTTTGTTCTTTTGTTACGAGCCCCACATTGTCTCCAAAGATGGCGCCCTTTGCACCCTTCTCGCGTTGGATGTATCTCTTTGTCGGTCCTTGGAATGTGTCGCGCCGGTACTGCGAGGCGGGGCAAGCGGTATGTTCCCAACAGGGCTGCGTCTTGGTCGGAAACTTCTGGAAGGTCGTTTGTCCGAAGTTCCTCGGAAAGGGGTGGTGTCCGTCGGTGTTTGATCTTGAAGAACTTGAATGCCGTCGTCCTCTTGTGGCGAGGCAAATGATAACGGATAAGGCATTTTACCTTTTGAATATGAAGTATTAACTTGTAAAAGCATTTTTATATTTTCAAACTTTTTTTTTTTAGTTTTGCGGTTTTGATATGGCATCTTGGTTGGATGATTGGAATTTTTTTTGGAAACCAAGATTGGGGTAGCTGCTTAAGTTCAACTTTTCATCTGTCTATAGGTAGTTCCTAATTTTGTTTCTGCTTAGTCCGATGAAATTTTTATTCTGATAAAAGCGACAAAAAACCTTTTAAGCATTGAAGCTTTTTTTCTTCGTTTCGTTGCACTTCCACCACTCGGTTTCTAGGAACAAACGGAATTTGTGAAAATTTCTCTATCTTTTCTGGCACACCCCATGACGTAACGGATCTCCGAAGTCTCTTTACATCTTTTGTGTTACCTGTCGTCCCTCCCTCGCTTCTTTTGCCCCCTCTCCAGCCGGGTGCAAACCCTCTCCCTTTTCTAGACTCCTCCCCCTCGCTTCCTAGCAGGCCTGTAGACCAGTCACTGCTGATTACTTAAATAGCGGCCTCCCTCGTGCCACGTCTCCCTTCACCTCGTGGGCTATGCGGTCTACTGACCGCTCAGTCGGCCACCGTCGTCTGTCGGTTTCGAGCCGCTCATCGTCTGCTGCCCTTAACCTGTTGTCTGCCGCCTGAGCTTGTCGTCTGCTGTCCGGGTTGCCATCGACCGCTTTTCGGCTTTCCCGGCAGCCATGGGTTGGCCGTCCCACTCGAGTTGGAAGTGGGATCCTGACACTTGAGCGCTGTCGGTGGTGCCAGATCTAACTCTTCCAGCTCAGGTGAGGTACCGGTATTTTCTGTCGACAGCTCGGATGTTCGTCTGCCACTCGCCTTACCGGTATTTCTTTCCTTTTTCCCGGTGCCGTCTTCTGCATTCTTGTCCTTTCTGCTTCCCGCCATGTTGCCTTTATGGCGTGTGATAAGTGGGAAACCTGCTCTGTTTGCCGTGACTGGAGACGCCCTCGAGGCTTAGCGTCGCCTCGGTTTTTCACTGCGCTTTGTGTTGCTGCGGTATTGCGGTGTGAACGCTTACTTTAATTGCTTGCCGATTTAGGAACGAAAAAAAAAAAGATATATTCGCCTTTGTTACAACTTGATCAGATGAGTTATTGAAGCTCTGCTTTAATTGCTTCGGTTGGGTTCGAAGAAGCTCATTTTTCGTTTCAAGCGTTTGATTGAGCTAATTTTTAGTCGGCTTTATACAATGCTCATGTTTAAGTGAAGTAACTTTTCCCATCATTGAAACATTGCTACAGTTGCAGTTTGTCGTGCTTTCTCGTGTGGCAATCTGCACCTCATCGAAAATTGCTTCATTGATGATCGACATCACTGTCGAGCTGCTGAATCGAGTTCGGGAGCATTCCTACTAACCAGAACCAGAAAAAATGTGCATCGTCATGGTGTTTGTCGTGCTTCCGTACGTGTTCTATCAACGCTCAACCCACCAGAAGACAAAAAACGCTTGGTGACTTGCGCTTTTGGCGCTGCTTGATTTTTCCCATTGGCTTGTAGCATCAGCTGCGTCTGGACTTAATCTGAAACGAAGTATAGACAATTGGCAACTTGTTTGCAGTCCCCCCCCAAAGAAAGTAAACTGTGCACCTTAAAAGGGGGTTATGCACTGCCGTCTGCTGATTTCTACGTAATATTACTTGCGAGGATATGGGCCTCGAAGTATTTCCTTCTCATTCCGCTCTCTACTTGCTTTCTAGTCCTAACTGTTTCAGTGCGCCACCCTCCCGTACGCTTCTTCCCGACCGTTGCGTTTGTGTCTGCTTCCTCATCGCCAAATTTTTGGCACATATGGTTTCTTGTCGGCGTTTTGTGAAGTCCTCTGTCTGCGTCGTGTTGTGTTGTCTGCTATCTGCGTGCTTCTCTGCACCACAACGAGGCAACGACGGACGACCGGGTGATTCGGAGGCAAGTGGAGGAGTGGTCTCCTCTCTTTGCCAGACAAAAGTGAGATTCAACTCCTCCAACTTCTCGCCGATCACCAAACCCATCACCGCAGCCACGCGCCGAGCTCACCCCAAGTGCTTTGTCTGTGGAGTTGGGTGCACTTGCGTGTCCTCGCTTGCGTGTGCTCGTCTGCTTTTTGTTTTGTGGTGGAGAGTCTCACTTGCATACAACTCACAAACGAGGAAGTGAATGAAAGGCCCTGGATGTCACGAAGAGCTGCCCACAGACGACTTTGAAGCACTTCTGCTACTTCTGTCAAGGCACGTCCGAGCTGATCAAGTGAAGAAATCGCGTATTAGATCGGCTGTTTTGTGCTCGGACGCTGTGATTGGCTTTCTGAGGGGGCAGATTTGCAGTGGATTTGTGTTGAAGAAGCTCTACTTTATCATACATTAAAAATGGGTGCAAGAGATCTTCATGCCATTTGAACATTTGCTTTAATTTGCATCCTGTAAACCATCTCCCTTTGCAAGCACAGTGTTGAGCTTTCTAATGCGAATGAGAGACCATAGAAGCTTCTTGCTGCAGTTGTGAGCTTTTAACAGAGTTTTCTTTAGTTTGGGAGAAAACTTGGACAAGAATTTAGATTAGCCCAGCTTTCGTCTGATTAATGGCATCCTCCTTTGACGCGACGGCATATCAACAAGTTGGTCTGTAAAGTTGCTTTTCCTTTCTGGTAAAGCTCGAGCTCAAGTGGTCGGCCATACAACAAAAGGAAGACGTTCCATCAAGGGAGAAATCGACTACAGTGTTCGACTCAAGCTGCACTCCCCATGAAAAAAAGTGTGACATTGTGATATCGGCTAGATGAATGCCGATCTTGAACTTGGCGGAAACAATGCGAACTTGTAAACATGACTCCATTGGTTGCCCCCCACCCCCCCCCCCAAAAAAAAAAACTGCTAAAAGCATTGTGCAAGCTGGCATTGAACACAGACGGTCCGTCGATTGCGCAGTATCGATAAGTGAGCCAGAGGTGCGCTTATTGTCACAAGAGGCGCCTGGCGCAGTGTCAAGAAATGGCTGCGCAATTTCTCGGCATGGCGTTTTTCATTCGTCTCGTGCTCGGACGAAATAGTTTGTCTCAAAGACACTGTTGCAGTAGCAGTTGGTTTTGATTTTGAGAAATAACTAGAAACTGGTTACGGAGGTAGGTACATGTTCTTTCATGAACTTTGGATCTGTAACGAGAGGAGGCACCATTGAAAGGAGCGCAAAATGTTGCTGTGGAAATAAAATGGAACTGATGGGATTGTGTGGTCTTCTTTTGAGTTTCGATTTTCTCCTCTGTCAGTTTTACCGGTGTTCTCTCATGTTGAGCCACTGGGCCTGATTCCTCTTTCCTTGGTAAGGGGCACACTGGGAAGTTCTGTTAAATGTTGACATTGTTCTACCTGAAGCAAACGTTCAGGTACGCTCAATGAAGCAGCAAAGCACCTACATTTTAGATGACAGGGAAGGAAATGTGTCTCACCACAGTCACGTGGTTAATATGGTGCATCAAGTTTGCGTAGCGATTCAGCGGTCACTACATGACCTGAAACAAAATTGGTGGTGGAATAGACACATCAGAAGAAAATCTATTACTTTGCATTTAAATGTTGCTGTTCATTACATGTACTATGCCTGTATGTTTGTCAGGTTCACTGTTGCATCGACATTGCACTTATGAACACGTTCGGGAAATATCACCCGAACACAACAAACTTACTAGTAAGACCTTGCACTGCAGTCAAAATTTGCACTCGAAAATTTGCGTAATCTCTTTGCCTCCTAGGTACATTATTTGTGCTGAGTTGAACCATAATTAAATAAATCAGTATCCATAGAGTCGTTTGCACTGGTACAAAAGCCTTCTTAATATTTACTTCAAGCACAGACATAGACAACTGGGAGGGTACTATATTATATATATCTTTTTTTTTCTAAAACAGAGGCAAAGGTTATATTTTTTGTTTTGTTGTGTGCTTTTTACTGGGTGGCATTGGGTGCTCTTAGGTGCTGTCCAGTGGAAGCAGCACAATCTCTCTGAAGTTGTTCCCAGGAGAAGCAATATTTGCATTGTGATAAGTGGAGGGGGGTTGCTATGGGCACAATCTTTGCCTCCACTTGAGGTTGACAATAGGGTTGGTTTAGGGGGCAGAACAGAACAGCCTGAGCAGCATGGGCTCTTGTTGGGTGGCTTGTATGTGCCTGTACTTTGAGGAAGGCAATCTCAGGAGAAGCCACATTATGGTGCGGCTAGATCGAGGATCAAACAATTTCATGTTTAGTATGTACAAACATGCAGTTTTGTAATGTTGGAGGGCTTCACATTTGGTAATACTTCCCTAATTGCGGTGAGCTTAGGGCTAAACCATTGAAATCATGGTTTTAAAATAAAAAAAGTATTGAAAATGCACAAAAAAACTAGGGCATGTTTAAGCTGCTCAGAGTTTAACCGTGCAACTACTGATACAAAAACGTGAAATTATCTGTAGCCCTGCATGCTTAAAACTTTTTACATAACCTTGAAAATTGTGCATTGTTATAGAAGCAGTACTCTTCAGCAAGTAATGAACGTTGTATACGTGCTCTTAACTTTCCTAGCCTTCTTTGTTTTTTGTTTGTGGTTTTTTCACAATGGAAAGAGCATTAACCATCAATAGAAACGTCTCGAATAATATGAGTATTTCCCTTCACAATTCAAACCTCGCCTGGCATTGTCAGGTGGGAGGGCATTTTTGTTTTTGACTCGAGATAGGTTAGAGTGATACTGGAAGAAGCGGTGGAAGTCCCTCGGTGCACATTATATTTCACTAAACATCGGCCGAATTTCTTGCAAAGATTATGCATCATACAAAAATAAGATTGGGTACACCGTATTAGTTACTGTTAACACTGTTATTTACTGAGGTCCAAAACATTTAAGATAATTAAGTCTAATTGGTGGTGCATTATTAACTTTAAAATAGTAAAAATTAAAATATGGTTCAAATTAGAAGCTTTCTGGCCATCAACAAAAAACATTTAATTCGGTCAATTTTGGAAGATCTGGAGCTCATACTTAGTTTTTCTAGGTCCCAAAATTGCATACAACTCTGCCGTGTAGCTCGTGATGTAACTTTTGCAAAATACTATGCTTCTTTAGTACTTGGAATTTTTCAGAATTTACTGATTTAGTAGTTTCTGATAAGGCCCACCAAGTTTCTAATTGAAACCATGTGTAATTTTTTTTTAATAATGAAAACAAAAGTTAATTATGCAAAACTGATTAAGGACTTAAGGGTCTGCAACGATGTGTGCCTGTCTGAGTACAGGGACAAATCCAGTATTGGTACTTTTCTTGTGCTATTCATAGTTTTTGCAGGAAAAATTTGACCAGCGTTTGGTGAAACACCCGGTATGATAAATATTGCGGAATTCGGTGCTGCGAGAGATTTTTTTGGACACTGAAGAAATTTTATTTTTTATTTTTATGCTTTATGTTAATTGTTTACTAAATTGTTTTTTATTTTCCTGTGAGTCATTTGTACATGCTTTTTCATATACCTGCTGAAAATTTTAATATGTATTTTATTTTGACTACCCATTACCCTCTTCAATGCTCTACCTTGGGGATATGTAAAAATAAAATTAAGAATACATCTCTTTTTATAAAATATGTTTTTGATTGGGCAGCAGAAACCTAAATCATAACCCCTAATCGTTTTAGTTTTGGGGAATTTCTGACGCTCAACTGCCTAATTGTTGTCTTCAAAATTAAGTTTGTTGCCTTTAAAATCATAATTCTAGCTGCAAATGAAATAGGAGCAAAATCGAAAAAGAAAATTCAGCACTGCCATTTGGTGGCAGAGCCGCAAACTAAGCCATGAGCTAGCCTGGCTCGTCTCAAAGTGGTTAAGTGCATGAACCGCGGAAAGCATACGAGCTATACACGTCCTGAACAGTTTGGGGATTGGCTCCACGTTGACGAGCTAGGCTTGTCTAAAATGGTTAAGGGGTCAAAGCAGCAGACACATGCGCAACAAAGTGGCGGATGCGTCGTACGAATCCGACCCCTCAAATATGACGTGTCGAGCATTTTATCGTGCGTCTCGTCCTTCACTTTTGTGCAGTCGTTCAGTTTCGTCCGATTGTGAATGCGCTTAAAGGTACTCCGGCAATTTTTCGAGCTACCACAACTAAATATATTCTTGAGATTTCCGGCCTTTACTCTTTTCAGTATGCCATTCAGAATAGGAGTTTCGAAATCGGCAAGTGAAAATGATGCCAAAAACCAAGATACAAATATATCCACACTTTTCAGTGCCGCGATGTCGGGGGCAGGCAGGCTTGCAGGTCCAGCAGGCAGTCTAGAAATGGACTCTGCCAAGCATTTTTTTTGTGCTCCTGCACAAAGTGCTGGAGAGAGCTTCCATAGCATTCATTTGACACCATGAAACTGCTGAAGTCTACAGCCCAAAGAATGAACCCCTGCCTTCCCCTGACGTCACTTTTTCCTCGTTACCAATAGAGCCCTTCACTTTGAAAAACACGCTGAGGACCAAACTTGTAAATTCATTAACTTTGCAAGAAAAAAAAATTATTTTTGGCTAAACATTTGGGTTATTATTTCAGCAATATTTGCTGCTGTGTTTAGAAAATTTTCAGGCATGTCGGGGTCTATATCTTTAAGTCATGTCCACAATCCAAACATTCTGCAAATAGCAAAATATGTCGGCTAAAAGGAACCCCTCCGCGCCTGAGAGAGGAGTCTCAAAAAAGAGGGGAGAGAGATTGATTCCTCTTACTGCCAGAACTTACCTCTCCACCCCAGCAGACCACTTTCTCTTCACAAGCAAGCACAACACACTAGATCACACTCAAATACAAATGTGCAAACCAGTGCACATTCCAGCAGAAGGAGGCTCTACCAACGAACCAGGTGACACACTCCAGTCACGAGTGGTGTGAAGCAAAATAAAAATGTGTATTTTAGTATGTTAGTTTGTGCAGCATATTCGTAAGCCTTTTTAGTATTATTAATTGTGCGAGAAACGAAATCTGTTGGGACAAGTTTTCCGTAATACCCTAAGAGACAGCCTACCTAAAACCGATTGCAAATCGGGTGTAAACAAAGAGTAGGCTAACTTTCAGTGTGCGATCAAAAAGAAGTTGAAAAAAAAAATGCCGGTTTTAGAGTTTGCGACCTGCAAGACTTCTGATCGCAGGGAGGGGCAATGAACCAAAGACAACTGTCCTTCTCAGTCAGCAATGTCTGCTTTTCTCCCGTCATGGCTAATTAAGACCATTTCTGCTGAGGTCACTATTAGCCAGGGCCCTGGAATTATTAGATGTGGGCTATCTTTCAGTGTTTTTGATAAAAAGAGCAAATCGTGCCAAAAATAGGGGATGGGTTATCTTTTGGGGGTGGGTCATCTCTCCCAATATTATGGTGGATTTATCCAAATGAGTGTTACCGTCCATTTGACATTTGAATATGTTGGAGGCCAGTTCACACATGCATCGAAGCGCCGAGATAGCGTAAAGTCAGGGCTGCACTTGTGCTAGTGTAAGTGCTGGCTCAGAGCTGAGTTATTGCTTTATTGTTTTCTAAAGAGAAGGGGGGGCCTGGTCACATGTAGCAAAGAACTTGTACTGTGCTGGCATATGGCACAAAGTCAGCACTATGTCTATAGTGTTGAGTTATAGCACCGCACTGTATATGTGAGCGGGCCTTAAAGGAATAGTGCAACGACTTAGCGTTGAAAGAATTTGCAGTTTGTATTTTTCATATCGCTTATTGAGGCACAAGTGACAACAAACGCATCGCCTTGCCTCGAAAATTTGCTATTCTGCCGCGTAATCGCAAAGAGAAAAACCAAGTTATTTGCCGATCTGCAGCCACGTGTGGCGGTTAGGGGGACTATGACGACACTTCTCTGGGGAACATGGGAAGCCAACAAAACCTGTCCCCCTCTGCTGCTACACTCGCCGTCAGTCTCGTGGCAAACCGTCTTTTGTGTCAATCGCTTGCCGCGACCTCTGACGACGCTAATCCTCAAAAAGTTGACAATCGCGAAGGAACTGGCTGGGGTCTCCACCGGGAAACCAGGTGGTCCCCTGGAGTACGTCACTTGAAAGACAACATGAGAGTTGAGAGGCACTTTGTCCTTTGATTTATTTAATCTTTTTACTATAAAAACTAGTGCAAGCAAGAAAATACGGTTTTCTATTCTTCTTTTCATAAGTGACACATTAACTCCCGCAGTGAATTGGCCAAAGCCCAAAAATCATTGCACCGCCCCTTTAAGAAGACGTCATTGATTCGTCGCACCACTCTGAAATTTGCTTTTGATCGCTCCGTCTGACTTCACTCTCATCGTCTTAGCGGACACTTCTTCGTATAAAACACAATCGTTCGCGTACAACCTGATACGTGACGAAAATCGACGTGCATTTGGGAACGGCACGGGGGTCGGGGACCGAGTGTGTTGGCGCACCGCAGCTTGGAGCATGCGGAGCGAGAGCTTGCGCTGCAGAACCCCAAGGGATCTTGGACTCAACCCCACCGCTGTCCATTTTGATCTAGAGTTCAAGACGAACGTTGTAACTTCGTGCGGTCACTGTTGTGTGTCACTACTGCGCAGTGCACATTAAATACACAAAGCCAGCAGTGTTACTGGACTATATATTTTTTGTCTGCAGCATAAGCCAGTGTCTTACACCACAGTGTAGTAGAGTACGGGGTAGTGTTGGGACTGGTGCGGCTCGGAAACGGGAGCTTGTGAGGCTGCACAGGCAGACAACATGTGCGATGCTGCAGTCTTCAAAACTGTAAGAAGTCGCTGCAGCTGGCCAAGTTTGGCCGTGAGTGCGTCTGACATTTGTAATCGTTTGCAACATTGCTGTTTTCGTTGCATTTATTTTGCATGTCGGTTGTTTCTGCGAGCCGACCACGATTTACTCGTTTCGTGTGTTTTATTGGAAGGTTTTAACTTTGATCTTTTTTTCTACAATGTCAAGATGCCGTTAGCGAGACGGCCACAAAACAGCTGCTATGCGTCTGGCTGCCAAACGGGCTGCTTGGGAGGACAGTGTCTCTTTTCAGTGTTCCAAAGGACAAAGCTGCAAGAGATGTTTGGGCAAGGTAGTTGCAAGGGCACTACGAATGCCTTAAAAAAATTATGCCAAAATCGTTGGCGAATTAGTTTCTGTGATAAATGCTAACTCATTTATCCCAGGGGTTCCGACTCTGCGAAGGATGGAAATTCAAACCTCGCAATGGTTTGCATTCCGTGGTCTTCAAAGACCCAGTCTGTTTTCCTGGGTGTCGGCAGTTTCGGATGCAGCTACTGCAGCTTGCCCCAGTTGTCGCCTATGGTCCGCAAACCGTTCACTCTGCGTTCGCGAAGTGTAGAGTTTACGCTGAAGTGGGATCAGCGGGAAGCTTCTTGAATCTTCGGACATTGTGTGTGCCACTTATATATTTGTAGTTGCATTAATTTCATAATGTAAGCGCAGTTTCAAAGCGGGCGTGAGCTAGCAGACGACACAACAATTAGGACTGCCAGGCCTGCACATGCGTAAGTGATTTGGGAGATGCACGATGGTGCGTCTGCGGCAAATTACGCTTTATGTCGTCGCGCCCGTCATGTATCCTGCAAGAGCGAGGGAAAGTGGACGTAACGAATGATTGAACAGAGCAAACGAGCACGGCGGAAACCGCGCGTGGCCTCACCAATCCAGTTCCGTCCAGTCCAAGCCAAGATCGTCCAAACGAAAGATGGCTGCGTGTACCAAAACCATAAATGCTAACGCGTTTAAAAAATAAGCGCTCTCTTAGAGATGCGTCTTGAACCCCGCCTCATCCCTCGTGATTTACTTCACTACCAAATCTACCAAACGACAAATCAATCATGTAGTCTCATGCCTGTCGCCACATGCGTGCACAACCTTGCAGTAAATGCTCCAGTGTGGACACCTGTTGCTTTCTCCACAACGCATCTTGTGCTAGCCGCTCCAGTCCCAACACTACCCCCCATTCTAGTACACTATATCTACGCCGTTTAAACACTAATATCTATTTTGTTTTGTTTTCTGAGAACGGTGAGTGAAGATCTTTGTCTTCCTCGGTTTTCTTACGTTTCCTTGTGCAGCTGTTTGAGAAGGATTTCGAGTGCCTGTCGTCCCTGATCACGCTCGAGCACCTGAACCTGAGCTGCGTGAAGCCGGAGCTGCCCTGTCCCAGTGCGCACTCTCAAAGGCTGCCCCCGACACCCCCTGTTACTCCCGCCCTGGGACCTCAGCTCTCGCTCGGAGCACGCTCCACGCCGGACGTGACGTTTGTCCAGGTGCGTAGAACTCTGATGCGTGGAGTAGCACAGCTCCACACTCGTGACGTTGGGATGTCCGTGCAAGGGGATAGGTTTTTTTAATTGTACAGTCAAACCCGTTTATGACGAACAGCAGGAGATGCTACAATCAGTTCAATGTACCAAGTATTTCGATATAGCAAACACCATTTACAACGAACTTCCACGATGCGTTCGTTGTAAGGCGAGAGCTTCTCTTTTTTCTCATCTCTTCACTTCCACGTTGTAACAACATGCTAAAAGGTTGTTTTTTTTTTTCGTTTTTTTTTTGCTTGCGTGCAAAGCTTTTTTTTTTTTATTTTTTAAGCTTATCTCTTTTACTGAATCGCCTCTCTTCGTAAGGAACCGTTTTGGGATGAAAAGTTTTTTGTTTTTTTTTTGTGCGAGCGTGCACAATGTATTTTTTGAGCTTTCTCCCATTCTGAATTGCTTCTCTTCGCTCAATTTTGTTCGCAACTTGAGCTTTTGGAATTTTAGTTTTTTCCTTCTTTTTGGGGGGGGAGGGACGGAGGGAGGGAGAGGGGGAGGGAGGGACGGACAGGGACAGGCTGGAAGGCGATTGTTTGCACGTTTTTGGAAGCCTTCCCGGGGGAAAAAGTTTGATATAGCCAATATGTTGTTCGTAATAAAAAGTACTTTTTACATGCATTTTATTCAAATTTTTTGTGAGTTCGATATCAACGATAATTTGCTGTACATGGGTTCGTGAGCAAATCCTATGCACTTCTGCATTCGTAACTAACAAAGCAGACGTCGTAACGTCTGCTTTGACTAACAAGGAGACGTCGCTCTGTAACTAACAAAGCAGACGTCGTGTATGCTTAACGGGTTAACACGCCCAATGATTGTGACATGATACGTTACAGGCACGTAGCCAAGATTTTGTTTTGGGGGGGGGGGGGGGGGGGCCACCCATGACAAAATGCTGTATGAGGGGGAGGGGGGAGAGGAGGTCCCAGCAAAATGGAAGATTTCAGGGGGGGCCCGGGCCCCATGGGCCGCCCCCCTGGCAACGTGCCTGATATGTTAGCTCCTCAATGACAAACGCAGTTACCAAGGGTCTTACTACGTTTATATAGATATTATGTTTGTATAGATATAGAGAGAAACATTTGAATTGCAGTAAGGCTACAACAAAAATTGTTGGTTGGTGGCGGGAGGCCCTCGCAGAAAGCGGAGGGCCTCCCGCCACCAACCAACAATTTTTGTTGTAGCCTTACTGCAATTCAAATGTCCGCTTTCTGCGAGGGCCTCCCGCCACCAACCAACAATTTTTGTTGTAGCCTTACTGCATTTCAAATGTTTCTCTCTATATCTTTACAAACATAATATCTATATAAACGTAGTAGTAGGTTGGGAAGCTATGTGGATTGGTTTTAAATGCGATAGGACACTGTGGATGTCGACCAAAAATATTGCTAGAATTTCTGCGACAGTTCCTAAGCAGTTTAATAAAGAAACATTCGCATGATACAAGACAAGCAAAAAGGTTATCGCATATCAACGGCGATCTGCGTAGCTATTTCCGCAACAATCTTTTTTCAGGTGATTTTTCTGAGTTGCTATTGCGTTAAGCTCTGTAGTACACTTCCATGTGTCTGTTTTACCGGGGGGAGAACATCGCTGGTAATTTGTGAATCGAGCTTGCCTAGTGACGAAGCAGGGAAAAAGGCTTTCTGACCTGTGCTGGGAAAGTGAGCTTGAAATCAGCATGTGAGGAGTTTTGCTTAGTGTGAAGCAGTGAAGACCTGATTTTTGTGGGAAAATGAATGTACAGTCGCCGAACGATTTTTCAGATTTCGCACAAACCGAAAAAATGTCCGAGTAATAGAACAGTTCGAAAAATCAGCAGATTAAAAAACTTTCATTTATTAAGTCTAAGCGGGCTTAAGAAAGCCTTGAATAGTGCCTTGCTTCAGGTTATGCCTACGCGCCTTGTTTCAGGTTACGCCTCCATTTGTGTTCGGCCACTTTCTATTAGATTGAGAATTGCTGCCTTTTTTTTCTAGTGTTATGGTCGAGTACTTTGTGCACTTCTTAGCCACGCTTCGCAGCAACAGAACAAATGGGGCCACGACGTCCAAGCCAGCGTAGTCTGAAAGCACGATTCACCGAGACGAGATGAGGAGCGCAAGTCCCTGACTGCAGAATGGCGAATGAACAAAGCAAGATGGTAACGATGATGATAATGATGCGCAGCTAGGGGGAAAAAGAAAAGAAAGCAGTATAGCGCCACCTAGCAGTGGGACTTAGCAGTACTCAAGTGGCGCTGCCAGGCCAAGCCAATTCATGTGAAGGCAACATAAAATCTAAAAGGGCGGCTTCTCGGCGGTGTTTCCCACTGATCTCTGATGACGATTTTTTCCGAAAAATCAAACTTTCAGACTTCAAGTTGTCCGAAACATCAGTCGTGAATGCGCACCATTTCTATTGGGTAGGTCACGGTTCCTCTTTTATGTTTGAAATATTGAACAAGTTCGGATGGCATCTGAAAAATCGGTCGGCGACTGTGTTGGCTTTGTCATTCGCGGAGCTTTGTCCATAGAATTGATTCGATTTATATGAAACGAAGAATAAAACATTCATCTTTGGCCACATCTAGTAAGTTAGAAGCCTGACATTTTTCTTTTTGTGTTTCAACATGATGCTACTCTTAATTAAAGGCATTACTGGGTGCTATGCTTCCTGTGTTTCATTCATGTTACCATTTTCTTGGTTTCTCTCTTCGCCGCAGACGCTGTCACTGCCTCAGCCCGTGGCCCCCGAGCCTACGGTGGGCCTGATCCCGTTCTGCTTTAGCATCATTAAGCTGCTGTCCAAGTGTCAGCAAACTGAAATTCTACTTTCTACTTTTGTTCAAGGTGAGCCTTTACAAACACCAACATCATTTTTTAAGCCAATTTTGACGCAAGTACCTTGTCCCGACACCAGCCAACGTGCCATTTCTCGTTTTTTTCGCAGAGCTGACACCGACCGAGCTCGACAACTGCGGCGGTCACGCGGGTTTGGGTCTGAACGGCCGGCCCACCCCCGAGCCCAACGACATCCTTTATGACCAGCTGCTGGAGAACCTGCAAGCCCTGCACGACCAAGAGATTCCGTTGACACACGACGAGAATGCCGTGTTCCCCAACGAGATTCACAACCGTCCCCGAGACGTCCACGCCCACGGCATGCCTTTCGACTTGCCCCCTGTTGACCTGCCACCCGTCTTGTGAGTGCTTTCAGCATACACGTAATCTGGACACAGCAACGGGGCTCTTTCTACATGTTTAGCTTTTTTATGAGCACTTTTTGCACACTCGTAGCCAGGCATCAAGGCTCGTAGCCAGGCATCACGATTTTTGCACACATTTAGCTTTGTTGTGAGCACCTCTTACACACCCACAGCCCAGCATCAAGACTCATAGCCAGGCATCAGGGTTGTTCAGCACATTTAGCTTTGTTGTGAGCACCTCTTACACACCAAAAGCTTAGCATCAAGGCTCGTAGCCAGGCATCTAGGTTCTTCCAAACATTCAGCTTTGTTGTGAGCACATCTTACACACCCGTAGCCTGGTATCAAGGCCCTTTCGACACATTTAGCTTTTGTTGTGACAGCTCCTGCAGACAGCGTTCCTTTGTACAAGGACTTTTTGCAGTTTTGATAGTTGCGTAAGATTTCATCAGTTTCAGCAACGCTTTGAGGCCATTTCGCATTTGTAGGTCGCTTGTTTGGACAACAAAATCGTTTTGGCATCCAAAACAGTATTTTAAAATAGCCGGACCTGTTTAATAGGCGTCTAGCTTCCGTATCCTTCATCAGCACGTAGCCCCGAGACAGAATTAAGGGCTACCAAAGCGAACGGGACCCCATTCGGTCATCGCTTGCACACCTCGTACGCTCACTTAGGCCCGTCTCACTGCAGGTGGCGCTGCTTCGTGGCCAGCTTCTCGGGCGTCGACGGGAGCGAGCACCCGTCGCCCAACTCCCACGTGGTGCTCTGCTTCCTCCCAGCGTCCTACTCGAACTTGCGGCGCCTCATGATGCCGCGGACGACCGCCCCTCCCGTCACGAACGTGCAGGGCCGACCCGCCAACTGGCACAGCCCACCGCCAGGAGACTACTCTCTGCTCCGCACCGAGTCGTCCTCGGACGCAGTCTTGCCTTCGGAGTCCACCGCCGGAGCCACTTCCACGCCGCTTCAAAGCAGACGACCATCCTCGCCCTTCAGTGCGTCGGAAGGTGACCTCCACCAGCTCGGGTCCGCGCGTTCGGAGCCCGCGCTGTTGTCGGCGTGCTCCGACCTCGCGGGAGGTCGCGCGTCGCCGCAGCGGCGGCTGTCGATCGAGGCCGTTGAACCCTGCGAGGTCAACGATCTCAATTCAACGATGTCCGAGTGGGCGCCCCCTCACCCTCCCGCGGTGTCGACTCCGCTTGGCGGACAGGCAGGCGCAGAGGAGGTGGCTCGTCGGGTAGAGAGGGTGTCGATCGCCCTGCCCGTTTATGTGTACGACGCGCCGGTGTCGGCGGTGATCGGCCGCCTCGTTTACACGGGCGGGGTGCGAAAGTGGAAGGACACCTACCTGGATCTCACCCTGAAGGCGGAAGAGGAGAGACCGTGCTCTGTAGATCCGGGCTGGCTGGAGAACAGGCCGGAAGGAATTGAAGGTGAGTTTGTCAGTCACGCGATTGCTGCGCCATTTGCGACAAGTCCTGCAGGGGTGTGACATCTGTGCCAATTGCGCCATTTTGATACAAACCCAATTTTCTGCGCCTAGCGGCGCCAAGAATGTGAAATCGGTCGAAATTGCGTCACACTGCACTAAAGTAATTAAAAAAAAAAAAAGTTTGCGGCGATGCTAGATTTAGCGGGAAACGAGAGCTTGGTTGGCAACATTCAATGTCGTCATAGTAAAGTACATGGCACGGGTATAGGGTAGCGCAAGCAACCGCCGGATTCGAAGATTTCAGCTGTAGTACCGTTCTACACCTATGATACATGATCTTTTCCCGATTTTCCTACTACTTTTCGCTATCATTTTTGACTGCATGCTAACGGTGCACTGTCACGCGGTCTTGCTGTCTGGCCGCGGGAGGTACAACGCACAGACTATCATGATGAGCAAACCTAGGTATTTCTTTCATTTCGAGAGTAAACCTTTTCTTAAAAGTGATATTGAGCGCCTCCATTGTATAATTGTTCATTCGTGTCCGTAATCTCGTCAAAATGGACGGCGCCGTTGCCGTGAGTACTTTCGGTTATCACACACGTGCTTCCAGTGCGTGAGCAGTCAAATTAATCGATCACAAACCCGTATTTAGCGTGCATGTGGTGCTCATAGTTTTTCTACCAATTCACCATTAGGGGCGAAGCTGCTTAGGGTCTAGCCTTGTCCGGCGTCCGTGCTCACATCTATTGCCATCCCATCTGTTTTTGTAAAAAAAAGAAAAAATGTTTGCGCAGTCGACAGGATTCGAACCTGTGCGGGGAGACCTTCATGGATTTCTAGTCCATCGCCTGAACCACTCGGCCACGACTCCGGGACGAGTAGGGGGCTCCGAGATGTGGTAGTAACTCAAGAGCTGGGGATGTCATGGATGAAACGTTGCATGTAGCCGCTCAACGTCTATACAGGAGAGGACACTGCAATCAAATGCATATATAATCGCGTTAAACTTTGCACGCATTGGCTCTACGTTTATAGACGAGAGGGCGCTGCGGTCAAATGCTCAAATGCGCATATATGAACAAAATCAGTATCATCAGCACCACCAGAGCTTCGCCCCAATTAACATCATTCACCACGTGGAGATGCGGTAATTTTTTTACCTTGTGACTCACTTTTGTGGGGAGTATTTTTTCTATCTGCACGTGCTTTCTACGAGCGTCCATTCAGTGTCTGGTTGTAGTAAACCGTGCTTCCCTGTTCATGCTCTCGAATGACCGCTTTAAAAAGTTTTACACTACAATTGCGCTTTGGCACCAGTTCGTATAAACTTGAGGTACCTGGTGCCCACCTAACTTTGCAGCAAGCCTGTGTTTCCTTTTCTCATCTATGTGCCTAAAACTCGAGTTTGCCTTCTCCGCTTTTTTTTTTAAATATTTTATCTCTGTGTGTATCGGCGCTGATGACTTATTAGAACCAGGGTGGTCAAAAATAACGATTAAAAACGAAAAATGTGATTTATGTGATTTATATCAGTGTTTTTATGATTTAAATTGCTGATAAGCTGCTCTAAAATTTTCTGCTCCAAACTGTAGACTTTTGTGCTTCGAAGTTGCTCAAACTGCATAAACTGCTGCTCCAAAACGAGAATTTTGTGCTCCTAAGCTGCTCCAAAATCCAGATTTTTCTGCCCCAAAAATTGCTCCAAAACCTCTTTCACCTAGGGTATCTCACCCTATATCCTGCTACATTTGACCAAAATGTGAGCAAGTGTGGTATTTAAAAATATTTTGCAGATTTTAATTTTTGCGAATCAGTGTGGTTATGCTATGTATTTTCGTCCATAGGGAGACATGTTCGCAGGGCCTATTTTTTGGCAAATCGTAGGTGATTCCGTGAAATTCACAAAAATTGGGTCCTCTCAAAAATTGAGTCGTTTACAGTATTCAATTTGATTTCACGTCAAACACCAGCAGTACTTGGAAGTTTCATAGTATTTTTCTTGTTCGTGGCCTGTTCCGGCGGATTAGTATCGTTGAGTGCGCTTCCCACCGCTCTCTGATGTACTGTAGTGAATAAAGCAACAACCGCAGTGTAGTCAATGCGATTTTGCGTGTCTTGCTTCGCCGCAGCGCACCCGCGTGCTTGGAAGAAAGTACTTCTTCAGAGAAAGAAGTGGCACAATTTCTGAATAAAACTTCGGCTTGTACGTATGCACCTTTTCGATGAATAAAAAACCAGAGCCCAGCATGTGATCTTCACAGCCCAACACGTGCGGGCTCATGTTTTTCGAAATGGAGGAAAACACTCGCCGTGCGCACAAACTGAAGATTTCACCTGCCTAAAGCTCTTCATTGGAATGGTCAATGTGGGGTATACTCGCCAGACGCCATACTTGAGTGCGCTGTTTACAGCGAATGCTCAGAAGGAGCTCACATTGTTAGGCTGCTAAGACCAGCAATCTTAATGGTTTGGAACGCACATCGCAAAAGAACTGTGGATGCTCGCCGTTGGCACACGCCCGGCAGTCGGCACACAGTCACGGCCAGGGCCGGCCCTACACCTTCGAGTGCCCTGGACGAACTCCAGTTGGGGTGCCTGTGGCATTAGCCAATAAGAGCGTCAAAGAACAAATCATGAAGCAAGAAGAGTGAACGTAGTAAGCCACTCTATATGTCTTTTAGGATGCCAGTGACTGAATGTCTTGGGAGGTACACTACCCAGAAAAAAAAAAAAATTTCTTAAAATATGGAAGTCGCTTACAACCCCCTGTACCACCGAATTAGAGCGCAGCTCTTGAGGAGGAGGAGGAAAGGGTACTGAGGGGATCGTATACCACTCCTTCCTCCTCCTCACCCCCTCATCCTGCGTGCTAGTCGTCCCTCTGAGCGGCGTCGCCGTCGGCGTAACCGTAGGTCACGCGACCCTCGTGACCTCACGGGGGTCATGTGACGTCGTCGGGGTCACGTGACCTGACCAAAGTCATGTGACCTCACGGGGGTCACGTGACCCCAGCGAGCAAGCGAGCGAGCAAGAGCTGGTGCTCCTCTCTGTGCTGACGAACATGGCGGCGCCTCAATACTCGCACCGTAAAGCTCGAAGGAGCACTCAGCAGCGTTCAATTCGACATTCATCCGCGTTTACAACTCATAAGAAGTGCTTTTTCTTTTGCACCCGCATCGCCTATGTGCAAATGTGCGAGACCCTACTAGTACCAAAAATATAATTGTAAAAAATTGGAATTATTTTATATGCAGTGTTGAATGAGTTTAGAATCTCGTCTACCTTTTCTATTTGTTTGCGACACAGTTCGACTACAAGTAGACCAGTAGATGATCGAAAGTAGGAGGGCATGCCGCCACCACGAGCAACGTTAATTGTTTTGAGAGATGCAAGCAAGAACCACATGCTTGAAAACATTAGGATGACTCGTTTTCCCTTTATCAGCCATACCTGTCTTCATATGTCGACGTCATCACTATTTCGTGCCCTTTGCTGATGCGGTCAGCACGGTGTCTCTAAATGCTTAGGTTTTTCACTAACCGGCACTTTCTTTAAATCGGCCTTCACCGCTCTTATGGTGGGAGCCTTTTCAATATGCTCAATCGATCGAACGAAATCTTATTGAAACCAAGAATTACGACGTCTTTGCAATGTTACGAGGTTTTTGCGACATGGTCACACTTTGGTTTGGTGTCTTCGTTCTTCGTTGTTTTCAGCATGCTTTGAAGCATTCACATTTTGATATTATGCGAAGATCTTGTTTAGTTCTGGAATGTATTAGAATGTTCTGGAATGTATTGTTGGCTTTTCCAGGATCCCTCTACAAGACGGTATCCCCTGAACCAAAATCAGACGACTCCGAGATCGGTGGCGACCGGTTCCTCGCAAGAAAGCACTGCTCCCGCTTGCGCAAGGCGTTCTCCAAGAGCTTTGTCTACGGCGTGTTCAGGCAGGTACCCCTCTCACGTTGGGCACAGTTGTGTTTACGTCTATGAACCACGCACTTCTTTCGCAAGATCTTAAAGGGGTCGTGATGTGGAACTTGGTGGTGAGGGACTGCAGGATTCATTCCGGCCTCCTAAGGTGTGCCTATTGCGATGTTGTGACTTTCTGGTAACTATCAGCTGTTGTTCTTTTCACAGCGGTAGCCGTTGGTGCCCCTTCCCGGCAAAAAATGCTTATGTGCGAATGCAAAGCCCCAGTCTCCAGCAAGGGCACTGCTCTCCCTCTCCTCGTCGTTCCTCACACATACACGCCAACTGCCTGCAGGCTGCCGCCGTTCCGAAAAACTCACGTGATCACGGGGAGAGCACTTTCTGCCTCCCCATCGTTTCTGCTGCATTTACGTACCCTCTAGCAACACTCTGCCCTCCCCCCCACCCCACCCTCCCCCTCTTTGACAGCGGCCATTGCAAAATACCCATTTGGCCGCGCTGTGTGGACACAGTCCCTCGCCTCCCCACTGCCGCCGCCCAGGTTCCGTTCTCGTGCGCTCTCCGCGCCTCTACCGTACGGCTCACATACATACCTTCGTTTCCATCGCAGGCACAATCACTGGTGTCCACATTCTAAAAAAAAAAATTTCAGGAAAGAAAAAAAATGTGCATCTTTGTGTCCCTTTGTTAAGACGTGCTACATCTTGCACAATCGTTCTACCAAAGCTCACATCTCCTCACACACATCTCCTACATCAATTCCACTGAATGCGGAGAACCCATTGCAAACATTGTACAGCACACTGGCTGAAGGCAAATTTCCTTCAACATGTCTTTCTCCAATGCAGCAACTACCGCTGTCAATTGCTTCACACTTTGTGTGGTCGTTTGTTTCTTTTTTCTTTATTTTTTGCGACTTTTATGGTTCTGTGGTTGATTCTAGCATGTCTTCTAACCTACCTTCATTGAGCTTGACTTTATTGATTATTTGTTGGGAAGTGACAGTCATCTCTTTGTTGTAGCCCCTACAGTGGTGGTGGACACATTCAGTATACAGCTAACTGTGGGAAAAAAAAAGAGAAAGCAATCCAAGTCTCATTAATCTTTTTTTCCCCGAAAATTGTCACTTTTTAAAATATTACATCTGTACCATCCTTCGTGATCGAGAGGAGCTTGTTCTGAGCACAACGAAGGTAAAGCCTGAAGGTCGTTTCATGGTTGCTTCAAGAAGGTTGGATTTCTGTTGCACGTTTCTTTCCAGTCAGTGTTGCTTCTTTGCATATGCATAGTCTCGGGGGTTTAGTCAATCATTGCGTATCTTCTTACAGCAGAGTTGTTAAGGGCTAGTTTTTCCAGTATCGTGTCCGCGGACAAACAAATGTCGACACAAAACTCCAGACAGGCACTGCATCTATAAGCGACGGCGGCAACCAGACAACCGGCTTGCCGGTTGTCTGATTGCGTCGTCCTAGAAGTCGTCCTGGAGGACGACGTCCTCTAGGCGTTGTCCTTGAGGTCGTCATGAACGTCATCCTTAAGGTCGTCCTTGAGGTCGTCCTAGAACTCGTCCTTGAGGTCGCCCTAGATGTTGTCCTCGAGGTCGTCCCAGACGTTGTCCCTGAGGTCTCCTACTTAAGGTCGTCTTAGACGTTGTCCTTGAGGTCGTCCTAGACGTCGTCCTCTAGGCGTTGTCCTCTAGGTCATCCATGAAGTCGTTCTTGAGGTCGTCCTAGCCATCGTCCTCCAGGTATTGTCCTAGACGTCGTAAAGATAACAGCTTCGCTGGTCCTCCATCTTCTTGTGAAGTGTTCTTGAGGTCGTCCTAGACATCCTCCTCTAGGTATCGTCCTAGACGTCGTAAAGATAACAGTTTTGCTGGTCCTCCCATCTTCTTGTGAAGTGGAAGGGCTCTATGTGTCACTTTTGAAGCAGTTCATGCAGTGGCGTGCAGAATTAAAACAACGCACGTCTCTTGGAGGCCCATATTTTACCGAAAGTCACTGTAACACAGTCACCACACAGACCACCTTTTCTGCCGCCTCCGGGCTGTTGGAGCATTGTCGAAGTCGTAATTTCTTGATCGTTTCCATAGGGCGCTCCGCGAGGGCCTTCCAGTGGACACTCAGGATGTGAGCACGGTGGTGGAAGACGCCTGCGAGGAGACCATCCTAACGGTGGACATCACGGAGTTCCTCCAGTCTATCTGTGGACACACGCGGGACTTCCGCATCAAGACCACAGTGGAGCATTCCCACCGTGCCTGCGGGAGCAGCCAGGATGGCGCCCCGCAGCAGACGACGCTGGCGACTTCCGACGCCTCGGCAACATTGAAGGAATTTGTCGACGACCACCCAGACTGCCAGCTCAGCACCGACGGGTGGGTACCCAGGCGGCGTGGTTCTTTGTGTGCAAATTTGGTCTTGGTCTGGGGAATTTAGGGCCTTATGATGTGGGGAAGCGGAAGTTTCTGCCGTGGGGAAGCTTGGCAGTCTTCACCGGCTCTTATGGAACGGACCTTTCGTCATCCTAGCCGGGCGCCAAGGAGAATGCTAAGAACCCAGGTGCACGCATTGCATGTGCTTGCCATATTTGTATAAAAGATTTGAAATGCATAAAAAAAATAAAGGTGCAGACAAATGAGCACGCAGAGTGCCGTTTCCCCTAGATTTTTGTTTTGGAACAGTCGCTGCTGCACATGACAGCACGTGCAGTGCATGTGCTGGCATGCTCCTTGGTGCTTGGAGCAGCATGCTCCATACTTGCAGCATGCTCCTTGGTGCTTGGGTAATTTAGCAAAAGGTCATTTGAAACGATAGTTCCGTTTTGGATCGTCACCTGATGGCTTCTCTTGCATTCTTTTGCTCCCTTTCTCTCTTTTTGACGCAATGGTGGAAAGCAGTGCCAGCAGCCCATTCCCAGTGAACCTGCTGGAGCGCCACCACCCGTGCGAGCTGGTGCAGCAGCTCCACCTGAGCATCAAGCAGCGCTTCCAGGAACTCCTTGAGGAAGTCTTCCAGCGGATTCCCTCCCACCCGGACTACTACTACTTCTGCCCGCCCCGCCAGTCCGTCGGGACGGTTCGTTTCTCTCTGCCTTTTCTCGGCCTTCCCTCACCCTTCCCTTGTCCTTCTATTGGCCTCTCTTAAAGGGAAGCCTCAATCACATCTTGGTATCCAGGAAACTGTGCAGTTCTCTTCAGTATATGTTACCTAGGCAGACCAGAAAGATGTTTTTACATAATATTATCTAAACTTTTTTTTAAATTGGCCAGCAAAGATGCACCATGTCAACAATGCCTGCAAAATCTGGCAAAATCTAACACTGCGCTGCCTTCTTCGTGCATGTTGCAATTTTTGTTTCGTTTTGATTTTGAATTGTAGCGGGTCACCTTTGCTACCCAAGTAAGTTCCAGTGAGAAATTACTGTGTAGCAGTGCATATCTTCTATTTTAGTCAGTGGTTAGTCCTCACAACCTCGATTCATCTCTAACCGTTGTATGCTGTGCAGTGGGGCCCCAAGGACGAAGGCGGCGGTGCCAACGGTGCAGGCGACGCCAATCGCGAGGACGAGGCTCATCTGTACGACTGGGACGACACAGACACGGACCGATCGCACAACGTCGAGTTTTCCATGGACGCCGAACGTGGGTGGTGCCCACGGATGTCTCGATTTCTCGGCAAAGCTCTATCAGGCTTTAAGATGGCAATTTGGGCCAGTTGGTTCATGATCGAAGATAGGCGCCGAAAAAACAAGGACGAGAAGAGACGTAAACACTGGCCAGCGTTTATGTCTCTTCTCGTCCTTGTTTTTTCAGTGCTTATCTTCTACCAGGCTCACACAAAACAGTCTAAAGGGTGGAGTCTTACTTGTGGCCACCTTGGATGTTGCTGGGTTTTGTTGTTAACTTTCTAAGCTGAGAAGGAGAGTGGAACTGTCGTTTTCTTTTAGTGTATCATGTCCAGAGCATGCAGGAACCAAACCTGCTAAGTCGTGGTGAGGTTACTAGAAAAAGATATTGTCTCGTAATGGCTGATATTTTTTTTTTTCTAAAGCGAAACATGTGCTGCATGCTTTTTATCATCAATTAATATAGCAGGGTTTCTGAATTTTTAGTATTTTTTAATTATATTTATTAACTTTCTCACATTGTGGAGACTTTAATAGAGTGCTCCCTTGTGGTGGGGCTGCTCCTTGGGGGGATGCTATAAAAAATTTAAAAATGATGAAACTACTAAATACGCTAGGGTACATTTTCGTTGTGTTTTATTCCGCATTTTCATTTGCTTTTGTGTGTTGCTGTTTGCCCCCTTGGACAACTTCTTAGTTGTGTCATGAGCTCAAGTTCTGCCTAGCTGAGCAAGACTGTCGTATCTCAGTGAAAGAAAAACTGATTGATTTACAACCAACAGAGTTAGAAATTATAATTGAAGCCTAGTCATTATGTAGCTATACAGTATTGCAACCATTGATGACTCGTCCTCTTCCAAAAGTGCTCTTTGTACCTTTTCGTTTTCTGAGTACCATATTTACGCGAATGTAGGTCGACCTCTTTTTCAATTTTTTTAAAATCTGAAGTGGGAGGGTCGATTTATAATCGAACCAAAGTGTTCCAACGCCGACGAAAACGAAACAATCGCGATATCAAGAACACCTCGACTTGTTACAAGTTCAGCCGGCTGTACCTGTTGCATTGTGCTATTGTGTGCTCATTTTGCAAGCTATTTTTTCTTTTATTTGCACGAACGAGTATTATTCATAGCGGCTTGCAAGTTAGCCTGAATGTACAGCATTGAGCAGCACACGGCACGCCCCACTCCCGGGTGTGGCGGCACTCCTTGTAAGAGCTACTCCAGAATAGCCACTAGAACAGCCTCGCGCCTCACTTCCCGCAGCTTCTTTTCGCAGTTTTTCGCACGATTAACGGCCGCACGTCGTTTGATAGAGTGTCGTGATTATGCTGGAGTGCCAACCATGTTTTTTTGTATTGACACGCGTGATGGGGGCAGTTTAGGTTTTCGGTGCTCGTTCATGGCCATTCTTCATCTAGAAGCAACCAGCAGCCGCGCTGCTGGATGCAAGTTCGACCCTTCAGTGCGGGTGGTGCTCCAGTAGAGTCTGCAATGGCGCAGGATCTTAACTGTGACGTTCCGGAGTTAGGGGTCGGACAGTGATGGGCAAAATACATGCAAATATGTATCGAAATACAAATACAAATACTTCGTCCAAAAATGTATTTCATTACAAATCTAATTACATTTCCAAAAAAGCATTTAAGTACAAGATACAAATACAACCAAATGTATTTGGTCTCCTCCAAATACTTTTCCAGATACATTCCTCAAGATTTGCGTCAGTGACTTCAGGGCACCTGCAACGGTTTTCTGGGTATCTCATTTTAATTTTGCATCGCCTACCCGGGAGTTAGTGCGAGGCTTTAGTAATGCAATAGAATTATAATCACAAAAAATGTAATCAGCTTGGACGTCATAGGTGAAAAAAGTACAAAGCTTCAAGCAGCTTTTTTTGTCGATTACTTTTTGGTATAGACCAACAAAGAATCGAGACGCGCAGCACTAGTTTGAGAATTTTTATTGTTGCAACTCGCACCAGTTACGAAAATCTGGACGACCCGTGCATTTAGAATGTTCCAGGCAAAAATATGGATGGAAATCAGGCTGGAAAGCATAACAAGTTGTCACAGGGATCTATTTAGCCAGTCTGCCTGTGAACGTCGATTTCGTCACTTTTCTTGCCCTGGACTAGCACCGTAATCACAAAGTCACTAAACTCTTGTGCTTGATCGAGAGACACTGCATTCGGTGCAGAACATAGTTTTTTTCCTGCTCTGGACAGTGACAATAAATTTGAGGGATGTATTTTCGCCCACAAAATTGCATTTAATTACAATTGTATTTGAAATACCCATGTTTTAGTATTTAAATACACTTGTCAAATATATTACCCAATTTGTAATTAAATACAAATGCAAAATACAAAAAGTATTTGAAATACGTATTTCAAATACTTGTATTTGAAATATTGCCCATCCCTGGGGTCAGACTTGCAACGTACACGGCAGAAGTGTGATTACCGAGCATGCGCAGAAGATGCGGTTGATGCTGTCATTTGCCAAGTGCGAGATTTCGTTGGATGACGTCGACGACGTGCTTTGAGAACGTAGCAGTATGACCGTGGGACTGACATCACCGCCACGAACGGATTGTAGTCTAGTTGCGGACAGAGTGAGAACAGGGAGCAGCCTCAGTTGTCTCTTCTCCAGCGTGAGCTTCCTAGTTTCGTGTTAACGCCTGGGCATCTCACGCGCCTCGCGTGTGCATGCGTGGCTATAGCACGTTAATAGACATCGATCGCGTGCTGGAGGCTGGGCTTTTGAAAGGGATACCTTGCCGTGTTCGCTGTAATACGCCTCTAAAGTGTTTTTTTCTTTTTTTCTTTTCTTTCTTTTGTTGGTGCACAATGTGGGGGTTTACTTGCAATCGAGTTGACTTACAATCGTGTAAATACGGTAATTATAACTGCATCTTCATTTCGCTGTTGAATTTTCTCCTGTTAATGTACCAGACCCCTCTTCAATGTCGCAATGAATTTGTGGGTATATCAATTTAAAAAAAAAAAAAGAACTGTCCGTCTCTTTGGCACGTATGTTAAGGGGGGACATGGGCCTAAATTTTTTATTTTTTTGAAAAAAATCATTTTTTTAATTTTGGGGTTTTCAGTTTTAGAAACTAATTATACACCCTTACACCAAATTTGATAACCATACGCCAAATAGTTACGTTGATATAAAATATTTTCAACACATTGTGAGGCAGTAGCAAAGTAAAGGAGCTCAATGTTTGAATGCATTTTTTTCGGTTCCACTTTTTGCTGCAAATTTCATACGAAGGAATCTTTCGTTCGAAGGTGAAAGTATTCTGATACCACAATCAAGATGTTTCTGAACTAAAATTTACTCAGGAATTGGGCTATCTACTTTATTTTGTTTTAAGTTGAAGTCCTCAGTGATGAAAAACTAAGTTTTCAAAAATTGACAGAGGACATATATGCATCTCATAGTTTGAGGTAATAACTCTTCCTAAAATATTTACATTTAAGTTATTAAAACTAGATAGCCCGAGGTCCCATATCCCCCACTTTATATTCAAGCAGTCAAAATGATGCTTAATAGCTTGATTTGCATATCATAGATTTCTTAAAGAAAAGTGACACATCATCTTATGCAGGTATGTAAATTTGTCCTAGAGAGCTGGAAGTTTGCATAGTACACCTACATATGAAGCTAAATCTCAACAAGGTACTGCGGTGGGCTAGTTGGTTCATACTTTGCGCTGTTCAAACACTAAGCTAAATCTCCCCTGCAAATTTCATTCCGATCACTTCAGTAGTTCAAAAGTTTGACCTCTAGCCAGTGTCCCCCCTTAAAGTCGCACGACGTTGTAGCGTCATCCGACGACTGTCACGCTGACGACGTCATCACAGTGTTCACGTGACGACGTCACGGCAAACCTTATAAACGCCAAGTACTGGCCCTGCTAATGCTATGCACTTAAAACTAAGAATAAAGTAATGAGCAATCAGTGTCTGACGTAGGACGAGGTTTCGAGCTCAGCCAGTGCAGAGCACCTCTCGATGCTTGTTCCACACGGCGATTCGCAGCCATCGGCGATCCGTGCCCGTCGACGAACGCTGCGGCCAAGGACGCCGTAGGCGACGGGGTGGCGGAGGTCGTCAGCGTGGCTTCATGTACTACCGAGGTCGGGTCGGCGACCTCCAAGATGTCGCTGGAAGAAGACGCGGAAGAGGACGATGAAGACGAAGAAGTGATGGAGACAATTAGGGAGGCGGAACCGACGGTGCCGCCGCTCTTTGCGCACCTGACGTGCCTCGTCAAGACAGGGTCGAGGGCTGGCTCCTGTTCCCTGACGACTCTGCCAACATGTCTCGGTACGTCTTTCTTTTCGTGGAGAAAGCTAGTTGGTGATGCGTGTGCTAGGGCCACCAATTATAAGCCACTCTCGAGAATGACGACCCTCCAGCCATCTTGGCGCTTAAAATCGTTGTTGCCAGCTGCCTGAAGCTTCATCAGAAATCGCAGGAAATGGATCCTGTCCTCCAGAAATCTTAAAACAGTCTGCGAAAAAACTATCCAATGTTGCCGGAGCTTCCTGACATTGTGTCTGAAGCTCGGGAAATCGCATTATTGAAATGTAGGGATCGCCAATTATGCCTGCTCTGCGCTAAGCAACAAAATGGCGGTGCCCGCAAGAAAACCAGGGAATTCAGTGCTGTCACTTTAAGCGCAGCCCGATTGGTGGCTCTAGTATGTGCTATTAATGTGTCATGGGTGTAGAAAGTATGCAGTCTAGTTATTTTAGAACCTTGAGTTTGGTAGGGTTGTAAAACTTGGGGTACATATTTTTGTTGATACTTTTTTTGTGGATATGCTGGTTTTTACTGGCATTTTACAGAATTTATATTTACAAGATAAATTAACTACAGAGCGTAAAAGGGGAAGGGGAGAGAGGCTTTATCACAGCTGAAGTTTTGCGCTATACTTAATTTTTCGACCATTTTTTACATCATTGTAAATGGAAATCTACTCTTGACCTCAGGCTTATTTCTAAAAAGAAGGTTGTGTGTTGTTTTGCTTGCAACCTATCCATTCTTCTTACAAAAGGAAAGTAATGTGCTTCAGTATCATTATCAATAGAGTACCTCGTTTAGCAATGTATTCCCTTTTTTCATTTTGGGAGGTGTGCTAACTAGATGTTGGCATCTGCTCTAAAAGTGTCTGTGGCTGCTCCAAACCAATATTTTTTATCCTGCTACAAAACTGCTACAAACGGTCAAGTTGTGATCCATCACTGCAGTCTAGACGGCGATCTGAGCTCTAGATTTTTTTTTGCAGTGCACAGCAACGTGTAGACTACCAACCTACGAGCAAATGAACGACAGGCAGGCACAACTGCGGCAAGGTCTCCACTTGAGATCGTCCTCCTAAATCTTCGGTCCCAAGTGTTGATTAGGGTATGGTATGAGAGCCCCGTTCTGACGCAAGATGAACCGACTATATAGCTGGCTTCTAGCCGTTTCCTCTAACGCACTCCTGTGATGAAAGAGTGTCGTACAAGCGCTCCGTCGGCGTTCCGACGGACTTCGCATCTTCGCCAATTGAACACAGGTCTCAGCCGAACGCCGTTACACCACTCATGTCTAATCTGTGTTCTTTGTTGCCAACCTTGATTTTTATTCCCGCCGGAGCACCATCTTTGGCAGGTCTCTTGATTTCTATTCCCGCGTACCAAGTTCATCTGTCCAGATTCACTGCATAGCAACATTCAACACATTCTCTGTTACCTTTGCCACAACAGTGCTGCAGATGGGCAAGTTCTTCACAAAAGAAAAACTTCAGGATTGTGAAATGAATTGCTGGGGCTTGTTTGTGTGCTTTTGGCTCGATTCAAACTCTTTTTTTTTAATGTTGTTTTTTGTTTTCGACATTTTCCTTTCGTTTCAGGCGAAGTGATCGACTGCTTGGACAACTCGCAGCCCACGCTGGACCTGGAGGACGTCAAGATCCGGCTGGACTTCCTCTGCCTCACGCTTCCGCCGGATGTGGAGAGGTTGTCCTCTGGGAGAACCCGCCACCCCTCCCCCTCCTCGCCAAACATGGACGCCGAGGGTCAGCATGCTGATGACGACGCCGACAGCGTTGCTTCCCTCAGGCGAGAGCTTTGATTAGTCGAGGGGGGGGGGGGGGGGGTCTACACTTCACCGTGGTGACCTAAATTCTTCAAGCGCTGCACCTGGCCAAGCTTATGATGATAATGATTATAACAATGATAATAATAATTATGCTTTATTTTTGATGATGATGATTACAATTAGGATGGTGGTTATGACGGGGATGGTAACGATCGTGCGGCTTTCCCCTTTGTGTCGAGGTAACTCGAAGTATCTTCGTGCTCTAGTGAAAATGTGACTGCGAGAAATGTATTGTAATAAATGATGATTAAATTTTTTTTTTATGTAGAGTGTTATCTGTGAGCAAGCTGTTGAAACAAACTTTTGTCTTATGGTCTCGCTTGTTGATGGCACGTAGAAATATATGTTTAGGCAGCTTCTGTTTTCATCTCCATCTCCCTCTCTACAAGATGTGAGATCTGTCATTTATCGCTGCTTTTTGGCGGATGGTGAGATCTAAGAATTACTGAAAAAACTTTCACTCTGACGACAGCAAAAACAATGGAGTTGCGTTTCGAGAGGAAAATGATGACGAATCTCTGTAACCCGATGGGTCACTAAAAGAGAGCAACCCTGTCATGCAGGAACCACTTTGTGCGCGGTACCGTGTTTTGGAAAGTATCATACAAAGAAAGTTCTAAGCGATAGCTTGCGGACACCAGTCAACTTTTTTAATGTAAATTAGTGTGTCCTCGGTGAATAAATGCACTTCATAAGGCTCAGGATTCTTCGTTTGCAACATCAATATCTAAAACAGCAAGCTTCAACTTTTTTGTCTTTCCTGTTTCGCTGCGTGTGATATTTGCAGAGCTTTTGTGTTGAATCCCCAGCTAGCCCTAACCGGATTATACGTCGCCAAAAGGTGATCCTTTCCTAGTTCGTTTTGTTAAAGTACAGGATTGTTTTGTTAGTGAAGCAGTGCATGGTAGGAGAGGAAGAGGAATGCTAGTCTTATAAATTTGTTTTTCTCTCAAAATCTGGGATGTGTAATCAAAAACTGGTTCGTATTCAATGCTTTATGAATCTCATGTGTTTACTCCGAGTACCCATTCACCAAAGTTGAAGAAATCATTTCATGTTCCTTTGAGCAAAAATGAAAAAACAAATGCTGATTTCGCGACTCATAGCTGCAGTGTACACTCAGTTGACAAGAAGGGCCTGATTCCATGTTTCTTTTTCTTTTTTTTTTTTTTAATTTTCTGCAGTTATCAGCTGGAGTCGCCCAGGGATCCACTGCGCCACCTGCCTGATTTTCAGAACCAAGTGATCAGCAAGTGCATTGAAAAGGTGTGGCATCCTCTGGCTGCAATCTGCCGCACCCGTCATCATTAGGGGTGCTTGTTTCAATCATTGTGCTGTAAAAGGGGAAAAAAATTTGATTGCAGGATCAACTTCCGACATATTGTGGCAACCTTATGTTGTGTAGAGAGGATGTCTATTCCAGTTCAGAGGAGGTGTCATTTCAGCATACTGTATTGTCGTGCTTGGCTGTCCTAAAAAAAAGTTTAAGGTAGAAGTTTGGGTGTGTGCTTGATTGAAGCAGGAGGTGGAAACATCTCTTTTCGTTTTTGTTTTATTTGTATTTTTAGCTGTTCTAGAAAATTGTATGTTTTTAAATTCTGTTTTTAAGAAAATACTTTGCTATTGCATTTTTTTTAAGAATAAACTAGCACTTGGCACTTGTGGTTTTCTCAATTAAGACTGGTTTTAACCAGTAACATCCATTTGCTGTACCATTGGCTTGCTCCTGATTTTCTCAATGGGTAGAATGTTTTGCTAGTTGAGAAGAGGTCCTAAGATTGAATCTTGGACCAGGCGGCTTCTTTTCAGCGGCAGACCAGTTGCCTAGAGGGTGTGCTCCATCTCAGGCGGTTGTCACTTTATTTTTGTGTAAATCTTTTTCACGTTTGGGACTTCCCCTAAATCGTTGTATCTCATTGAAGTTCTACCACTTTTTTTCTGCCTTCTTTTCTTTCAACTTTTCTTCGTGACAGATGAAATGGATGCTGCGGGACGAAATGGCGTCGGCCGCCCTCGGCAGCTTCCCGTTGACAGCTGCAGCGCTCCATATGGTGTCGGAGCACGTGCAGATGACCGCACGTGCGCGGAGCACGACGCGTCTCCACGCGGCCACGGGAGCTCCCGGCTGCCAGGTGCGCAAAGTCCCGCTGCAGTTCGTCTTCGGGCCCGAACAGAGCTTTGGGAAGTTCCTACAGGTGAGGCCCCAACTTGTTCATTTTTAGCGCAGAGCGTGTTTTGGAATTGGTTTTCAAGTCTCGAGCATCATGAAAAGTTTTTGAAAGATGATACGGGGAAGTTATGTGACCCAAGTTTAATAGTGAGAAAACTTGGATAAAGTAATTTAGGCGTGTCTTCTTGTCTGGCAAGTTTTCCTCTAAGGTCAGCAGAAAAATTTTCTGCTAAATTTAGGTCAAGTCGCACTGTGATGCCACGTGGTACCGCAACACGACGCAGTACACATCATGGTGTCCCGTGAAACGGTAACATCACCTTGTCACTTGATGCTGTGACATCACATAACATGACACAGTCACTTCATGTGACCGACATCATATCACATGATCCATGGTGGTGCCAACCGTGTGATCACCCTACGGGATGGTGGCACCAACCCCAACAGCCAAAGGGGCAAAACAGGTGAAACAGATTAAAAGAGATTGACACAAGCACATGACACATTCTTCTTCAATTGGCTTTATGCAAAGTATCAAGGTGGTTCTTTCTTCATTTTATTTTGGCAACTATGCCTTTTAGCTTTTTTTCTAACTGTTTGTAGGGCTCCGACTTGCTGGTGTGTCACAAACATTTTATTGCAGTTTTTGTGCTGAGCAACTGTTTCTCAATAAACATAAAAACGTTGATGTCCTGCCCCCACATAATGTTGATCGTTGCTGTTTAGGGCAGACAAGCTCTAAGGTCAACGAATCTCAGGGAACCGAGTGCAGGAAACTGAAAGTCAGCCAAGCTTGCAAGGCATCTTTGACACGACACAACCGTGATTATATGCACAGTTGCCGACCGATTTTTCGGACTCCAATGATTCGGACTTGTTTGATACTTCGGACCTAAAGGAGGAACCGTAACCTACTCGGTAGAAATGGTGCATATTCACGACCGATGTTTCGGACAGCTTGAAATCTGAAAGTTTGATTTTTCGGACAAAATTGTCTCACGCGATCAGTGGGAAACACCACCGAGTACTGCTAAGTCCTACAGCTAAGTGACGCTGTGCTACAGCGTCACTTAGCTGCTTTTATCTGCACATCATTATTACCATTTTGCTTTGTTCATTCACCATTCTGCAGTCGTGAACTTGCGCCTTTCATCTTGTCTCGGTGAATTGTGTTTTTGGACTACGCTGCCTTGGACATCATGGTGCCATCTATTCTTCCATCTCTGCGAAGTGTCGCTAAGAAGCGTGGAAAGTACCCGACCATAACGCTAGAAAAGAAGGCTGTGATTCTCAAAATAATAGAAAGTGGCCGAGTGCAAGCAGAGGCATAACCTGAAGCGAGGCACTATTGACGGCTTTTTTAACCCGCTTAGGCGTAATAAAGGCAATGTTTTTCATCTGCTGATATTTCGGACTGGTCTATTAATGCGAAAGCATTAACTGTCTTATGGAGCGAACCGACGTCATCAGTTTGAAACGTGAAAACGGCACCTTAAACCCTTCTCCAAGTGAAGCCAGCTCCCAGCTATGAAACCACGCAAAAATCCTAGACACGGCACCTAGTTTCCTCGATCCCAAAGAGAGGTAAAGCTGATAAATTTTCTGCTGCTTCAGTCCCATTGGCTGGCGCGCGTCGACTAGGCTCCGATTGGCCGCTGCGCGTCAGGTTTCAACAATTGCTCAACCGATGGCGCTGCGTGTCCTCAAGGCAGCGGCTTTACCGTTCCACTTCCACTCCCAAGGTCAGCGCACCGTACATCACAGACGAAAGAAGGGGGCGAAGAGTGGCGTGCATGCTTTCACATTCACAACTCGTAAGAAGTGCTTAGGTGTACCTCAAGCCTTTTTATTCGGACATTTTTCCGGTCCCTGCCAAGTCCGAAAGATCAGTCACCAACCGTATACCAATGTTTTGAAGGCAGAATCTGCAGCGTGTCCTGTCTTGGCTGTTTCAGGAGTTCAAGCAGATCTCCCTTCCCGGTTACCGTCTGGAACAAGTGGACAGGGAGTTCTTCTGCCTGGTCTTGGACGACAAGGACTCCAAAGTCGTCAGGCGCCCCTTCGGATCTCTAGTTCCGCCGCTAGGGGCAAGTAGCCAAGAGTGTTCAATGGCCAACAGTCTCGCTTTGAACGTATTCAGCACGAATGCGTCCCATATTTTCTGCTTCACTGTTCGCATGAGTAGCCAGCAAGTAAAGACCGTTCACACATTTTTCGTTTAAGAACGATGACTTCGTTTCAACCGCTTGTGGCTGCTTGGGACCGCTCTGCATAGAGCAGGGGTGGCCAGGCTGACCCGGCCTGAGAGCCGCAAACAAGACCACGAAACTTCAAAGAGCCGCGGGGGGCTGCAAATTTCTCCAGAGCAACAAACGAAACTCAAAAACTGCTTTTATTCAAGCCGATTCAAAAGCAGTCCAACTGTACGTAAGGTAGTAGTAGCACAAGACTACCAAACCGCAACCTGTCTTTCGATTTAAAAAGTGTTCCATTCTTCTTTTTTGGGGAAGTGCTTGTATGACCGGGATGAAGGCGTTGGAGAAGGGGGGGTTAGTAGGGGACGGATTCGCGAGCCACACTTTAACACGCGAAGAGCTGCATGCGGCTCGCGAGCCGCAGCTTGGCCACCCCTGGCATAGAGTATACGCATCATTCTTTTAGCGTGGGTTTGAAATAATTCAGACAATGTTATAAAGTGCCATTGCTCGTCGACAGTGCGTAGATTTTATATTGCAAATGCCGCGAGACTTTAAGTCTAGTTTTGTGCACATCGGCAGGGTTCGAGGAACCCCTGTCAGGTGGCGCCTGTTTACCAGTGTGTTATCTGATCAAAAGTGGTCACAAGCGGTTGCAGCGCAGTTGATCGCACTCAAATGCAAATGGGTGAACCAGCCCAAACACATACCTCTGCACGTCTGCACATGCACGGAAGTGAAAGGTGAACTGGACGGCTTTTCTTCTTAACCTGCAGCTGAGCAGCAAGGCACTGGCAAGCTCGCTTGAGCGTGACGACGAGGATGATGCTGTCAGAGAAACGAGGAGCTCTCGCCAGAAAGGCGCCGCTGCTGCATCCAAAGTGAGTACCTAATTACTCGACCAAACTTTTTTTTTCGGTTCTCGTTCTTTGCCTCTTGGAGCTTTGGACTTGGGTGAACTTAATCTGCATCAACAGGCGACTTGTTTCTCAGCTGTGGATGAGAAATTTAGCCATTGCAGTACAGCTGCTAGCCTAGGGTCTTTAGCATGCATCATGTAGTAGTGATACACGACCATACGTCAGTACGATGCTCATCCGAATCGAAACGGACACGGGTCCGTTTTTGGACTGCACTGCAGAACCCAGAATTCCTGGTTTCTGCAGAGCGGTCACAGCAGCCAGAAGTGGTTGAAACGCAGCAGCCGGAAGCGGTTGAAACGCAAAGTGTGAGGCCGAACTGTTGGTTGGTGCCTGACACGGTCTTCCAGTGTGGCTGAGCTATTCTTGTTTTTAATGCAAAAGCATTAACTATCCCATGGAGCAAAGCTGGAGGCGTCTGTAACCGTGAAAAAACGCGAAAGAAATGCCCATTCTCCCATTGGCTGAGCAAAAACAGCTCCTAGATAGGCATTGGCGGCCGCTTCACGAAAGCGTGCGCTCGGCCGCCGCTCTCATGTCGGGCATTGCCAGATGGGATGGGTGGGGAGGGGGAGTGAAGACGGGGGCGAGGGTGGCTGCTTTTGCTTCTGCTTCTTCCCTCGGTGCTGAGGAACTTGGCGGCGCCTGAGGCATCTATATCGTCAGCGATCGGAACCTCGGCAGTAGTGAAACATGGCCGTCTATGCCAGTACACTGCAGACGAACTAAAGGAACAGAAGAACGACATGATGCTTTCGCATTCGCAACTCATAAGTGCTTAGGTGTCCTCGAAATTTTTTTCTTCTTTTTTTGTTTGTTTAGATTTTTTGTCAGTTCCTCTTTCTCTCTTCATCAGTTTTGTTGCCCAGTCAGTCAGCATGGATCACCATAATAATGTTTCATACGGAGAACGTGTGAATACCCTAAAAATGTAAAGCTTCGAAACGTCAGGCACATTGAAGAAATTGGGTAGAGTCTGCAAAAGTACCCTTTCTTATTACTTACCTAGCCAGGTGGAGTTTTGCCAAAATGTTTACTTTTAAAGATGTAAACGTATGAATAGGCTAAAGATGAGTTGTAGAATGTTGTCACACGAAAACTTGCGTGCGAGGTGATGGCGTAGTGAGGCTATGAATGCAGGAAAGAGTTTGCTTCACAAAACAAGTGCCTCATTTGTTTTGTGTTTTGTACAAGAGTCTATTGCAACCTCTAGAGCACCGTTCGTAGAGTGGACCAGGAAAATGCCAGATCACATTTAATGTCCCCGTCGCAGGATGTACTTGAGACTTTTAATCCGATCGTCCTGCTGCACCTCTAACAAATAGCGACGCTAGTCGAAGCTAGTCTGAAGACTTATAAGAGGATCCTTCTGGAAAAATTAAGGAGGCAGCGGACAGTTTATTGAAAGACTAGGCTTCGGTACTGAAGCACCTTGTAGTGTAAGGCAGAGACCAGCAGTCAAATTGTGGGCGTTCCCTCGCAGCTCTCGGACGAAGACGAATCAGAAACCGGCGAAGGCAGAGCTCTGCAGAACACTTCGTTTCGAACACGGCGACGGCAAGTGAACCGCAGCATCCGTGCCAGGAGCGCTGACGGCAGAAACGACCAAGCCCTGTCGGCGCCGCTAGACCCTTCACTAGCCGTGGACGAAAACTCCAAGGGAGGTGCCAGGACCCCGGGCAAGTCGTGCCCTTCGGAACTTCTGGACCTGTGCCGAGTCCTTAGGGAAGAGGCGCAGACTCGGGGCAAGGAGGACATGGGAGAGAGTCGGGGCATGTCCGCGGAGACCGTCGCTCAGGAGCCGAGTGTTCCCGAAAAGGTGGGCGTAGTTACGCATCTTTCTACAAAAGTAGCATGGCAGGCCAAAAATTTATGTGCTGTTTAACGGAGACGTCGAAATTGGCATCTCCAGTCAACCATTCTTTAACATAGAATTTTTCTTCCAGGATTATCCTGAAAAAAGATGCTGCATCGCGGATGAGGTTTGTCGTCGGAAACAGATGTATCGCCATGGGCAGAGGTTATGTCATGGACAGATGTAACTTCATGGAGAGAGCATGCATCGTTTTCTTGCAAAAATTTAGTGGGGAAGATTTCTAATGCAGAATGCGATCCATAGCCGATTGTCATGTAGTTCTGTAGCGTTTTGCTGTAACAAAAAGTAGTATTTTTTGCCTACAATTTGCGAAGAAATGAAAGCGATAGCTGTAGTACGATTGCCCTATGCTGATGGAATGGTGGCGACACATACCTGAGGACGGAGGTGTGACGTGGTTAATTCTCATAGCCGTTGTGCTTGGTGTCATTGATGCCACCGACGACTGTCACAAGTGCTCGGTGATCCGTAAAGTAAGTGGGTAGACGCGGTGGAAGTTTCTAAAACCAACCATCCAACGTTGCGCGTAGCAACTAGATACTGCCAAAGTGGGATTTCGCATAATGCGAGTAATGTTTGAAAGCAAGCCTTTCAGGCAGTTGACACAAAGATTCTCTCTTCGTCGTGCCATTCTTGGCAGGCGCCGGGGCTGCCCTCTTCGCTCTCTTCATGCGATACGGTTGACAAAAAGTCCAGTCTTCTCGTGCCAAGAGGGGAGAGAAAAAGGTTTTTCTCATTCTTCCCGCGTGTGGCCACGACAATCTGTGGGGTCAAAATTTCTGCAAAGTGTCGCCCGTAAAGCTATTGCTTTAAGAACTGACACCGAAAAGCTTGATGCCCATAGGGAACCATATAAAAAGACTTCAGTCCCTCGCCAGGATTTGAAGTCACCACCTCGAGATAGTGTGCCAAGTGCTTTTCCGACTGAGCTATCCAGGGTCGGTGGTCGGATCATCCAAAGACATTTGCACGGCACAGAAGGGTGCGGTTGCGCGCTTCGTAGCCTTTCCTGTCATGGTGCACCGTCTTGCGGCGTGTGCCAGAAATGAGAGCAAATCTCCGGTAGGGTGTGCCGTTCAGACGCCCTTCTCTTCTTTTCTGGAAGGCTTATTGCACCATCCTGTGCTTACCGCTCTTTGTCAGCATGATCAAGCTTGTATATTTTGTTTTCCTATACTTAGCAGGGAAGGTTTTCTGCTCTATTGAGCAGGGAAGTTTTCCTGTTGAGCGTAGCACACGAGTGCTGCATCAGCGTTCGGCTGGAATTTCTGACCTCGTTGATTGAACATGGGTCTCAGATAAATGCTGACACAACGCTGTTGTCCAATCTGTGCCCTTATGTAGGACCCAAAATAAAGCGTAATGAAAACAAGCATAAACTAGTGTGCAAGCATAAACTTTATGCTAGTAAGCATTAAATGAAATTATCTATTTTTACACAATAATAATTCACATAGGTTTTGCGAGTCCTCAAAGAACAGAACATTGAACCTGTGCGCTTAAAAGCATGCAAATACAAAACAGGCAGGAAGGGAACAGCAATAAAGGTAACTACAGGCATCCAAAAGAGGAGCAACACAATCTGGTGCTCATAAAATCTTAGGGACGTCAAAAGGCACGACTCCGCGAACTATCTATTGTTCATTTCACATACAACTCCATTTACGCATTTCTTTTTTCACTCGTGCTAAGGATGGTAGATTACTAAGTGAACTAGCAGGGAGAGTATTAAAGCGGAATCTCGTTAATTCAAACTTTCTTAATTCAAATTCGCAAATAATTCAATCTAACATGCAGGTCCTGTACTATGTGTTTCCAGGAAGGAAACTCCCGGTAATTCAAACTTTGCATTCTTCAAACAAAGTTCTGGTCCCCCTCGGGTTTAAATTAACAAGATTCCACTGTACGTTAGTGCATGACACTTTCTCAACCTTTTACCATTGCTGGTATATATTCTCGGTATGTGAAATCTTTCTGTGTGTCTTAGTTGTTTTTGTTCGGTGGACATTATTTTGAAGTCACACATGAAATAATATTTTGTGATGAGGATGCATTCATGCGATCTTCTATTGTTAACCGTCGAAGTTCTAACAGCTGATCTTGAAACGAAAGACTTTCAAGTGTGTACCATGCGTCATGTTCTGTATCATTTTTAAAATTAGGTTATTTATTTTTGTACTTTTTATTTTGATGAAAATGCATAAATGGTTATACCATACCTTAGTTTACGTAGACTCTCCTAAAATCTGGTAAATTAATCTTCTTAGTTTAATATTGCAGAACTTCGCAGTCTATAGAGGTATGATGAGATTATTCGCAGGTGTTTGAGTACCGTATTTACTCGCGTAATCCTCGCACCCCCTCAAAATGTAGCGGCGAAAATTGCCTGCTCGCAAAACCCGCATGATGCACGCGCTCTTCACCGCCTGCATTTTCCGGCGCTGCGCCGCTCCATTTGGCCAGAGTTCTTTAATGCTCCAAGCGCCTTAAGGCACCCTAGGCAGCCTAGCGCCATCTCTCAGACGCTAGTCACACTGTCGTTGAGCCGGTTTTGCGTGCACACAACTAGACGGCGTTCGCGCAGTCCGCGAACGCCGTCTAGTTGCGAACGAGGCAACGACCAGTGATGCTAGGACTGATTCGGACTGAGGTCGTTATCAGCGATGTAGGTAAGTCTTAACTCAGACTGTGTTTGTAAATAAATCTTGCTTTGTGTTGAACCTATGGTTTTATTGTTAAGGTAAGTCCTGTATCGGTAGTTCTCAAACCTTGTAGGTAGCTGCCGGCGCAAAAACCCCAATTTGCAGCCGCTTTTTTTTCTTTTTTTTAGAGCTTTACGTTTTTGCGGAAAATGTTTTCCGTGTAATTCTCGCACTTCCACAATTTTCTATTGATTTTCCGCAAAAAAAAAAGTGTGAGGATTATGCGAGTAAATATGATATATAATTCAATGTTGTGATTTCATGTCAAAATATATGCCAAGGTATCTGGTTTCACTGGTGCAAAGTAGTGGTGAGCAGGAGCAATGTCGACATTCCCACGCATGCAAAAATATAGGCTGAGTGAGATTAATATGTGTCTGGTAAGTTCGAAAGCGCATTAGGGTCAATTTGTCATTGTTCACGAAAATGTAGCTTTTTGAAAACCCTACTGATACGCTGCAAGGTGAACAGAGACTCAAAGACACAATGTCTTTACCAAGTAATGTATAGAATAAATGGGTGTACGGTTGTCGTAAAATCGCTAATAAAATAAAAAAAATTTTTGAAAATTGATTTTATGAGAGAGGTTTTTCAGAGCCTTTTTTTTACCAAACTAGGTATTTCGCCACAGTTGTTTCAATATGACTGTTCTACAGCGATAGTCGTTATGGGCTCTTCCCATCACTGGAAATGATGTCTGTTGATGTTGTACCGTATTTGCACGAATATAACGCGACCACGAATATAACGCAAAAGCAGGTTTTGATGCCCTCAAAAAAAGAAAAAAAATATTATTACTATTATAACCCGAACCGAGGCTGCGTCAATTTGTCGCACTCGGGGGCATAGCAGATCTGAAAAGTCAATGGAAATAGCAGAAATATCAGTTTATCTTTTGACTGCACTCATCCTCACTGCTCATGTCCTTCCGTTTACAACCCACCTGGCGACTACGCAGATAAGCAGCAGCATGGCACCTGCTTGTCTGGTAGTTCCTTTTTCTTCGGTGGTGCGAGCTCCTCGGCAGCCCACAATCCAAACAAGGCAGGAAGCAGAAGGACCAACACACAAACACTAGATCACTCTGGAGCAGAAACTAAACAATGCGCAGGCATAAAAAAGACTGCTGAATCCGATACACGATGCACAATCACACTTCTTCTGGTCCCTCTGCATAAACAAATGCCTTGTGTTGCACGATTTCGTAAACACGGTTCGTGGTCTTGGCTTGGCTTGTGTTGACTTGACTTGGCCCGGCTTGGCTTGGCTCGAATTGGCCGGTGCCCGCATTCCCGCATGGCGCACGCGCGCGCTGAGTTTCTGCAGCGTGCGCGGGTTGTACAAACACAAAAGCGATAAAAATGCTTTTTTATGTCTTCTATTCGCCCCTTCACGTGGCCCAATAGCTAATAAATTCCCTTCCACACCCCCACTTATTTTCCCACCGGATATTTTGCATTGGGCCGGAGGGATGGCTTTCTCCTCTAGATTTCTCTAGACTCGCGCGCCTCGTGTCTCAACTCGATTCAGAATATAACGCGAGGTGCGTTTTGGAGCACGTAATTTCGAAAAAAAACTCGCGTTATATTCGTGCAAATACGGTACGTAGTTGTAATTGTAGTTGTTGTCGTTGTTGGTGTTGCAATTGGCACAGCAAGGCATAGGAAGTTATCGTCGTTGTTGATGTTGTAGTTGGCGTAGCAGGGCGTAGGGAGTCTGTTGTCAGTGTTGCCAGATTCTGGGAAAAGAGTGCCCGCTGCCCGGAGAATCGAACCCAGGTTTGCTGCGTGTGGAGCGGAGGCGTTACCACAGAGTTATGCCATAACGTTAACAACCCGCTTTATGCTTAAGGCTCTTGTAGTACTGCAAAGATATAGCCGATAACAAATTGTCGTCCTAGCACCGTGAATGCCAAGAGCTCATGCCGGGAGACGCACCTCATGCACTCTGAAACAAGAAAGAAACAAAAGCGTTCGGAACAAAATTATCAGATGTGTATTTTGTTCCAAACGCTTCTGCTCACGCACACCACGGTACGCGAACGGGACGCCGACCTCCAACGACTTAGCCCTGACTACAGTGTGAACCAGTGTGGGACTGCTCAATTTTTTGTCCATCCTTCCTTCCTTGCAACCTGACATTTCTCCGCAAAATCGCAGCTGCCGGACCCCGGGCTGCCCGAGACGGCGGAGCCCTTCCGAGACCGCACAGACAGCCTGGCCTCTTCCCTGGGTCCAGCGGGTTTCCGAAACACGGCGCAGGTGCTGGAGTCAACGCGATCCACGCCCAACGCCCTGAGCGAACCGGAGGCCGGGGGTCAAGTCAGCAACACCGAAGACGGTGCCACTCTTTTCTGTTTTTTTTTTGTAGTCGCTGCCGGGACTAGAATACCGAGGCATCCCTTTTGCCAGGTTGACCTGCAGCACACGCTCTTTGTAATACCGTAACATCCTGAGAGATGGTCCAACTAAATTCGATGGCAAGTTGAGTGAAAACAAAGAAGTGGGCTAACTTTCGGCGTGTGATCAGCAAAGGGCGATAGACAAAGGTTGAAAGAGTGCTATTTCTAGATCGTGTGACCGCCAAACTTGTTGTCTTGGCAAGGGGCGACGATGCAAGGTCGGCCATCCTTCTTGGCCGGCAACGTTGGCTTATCTCCTGCCGTAACTAACTGACCCCGGACTGAAGTAGGGAGGTCGTGCTGGAGGCGGGGCAACTGAGGCTCCTCCCTGTCATTCTCATCCTGTCAGCGACTATATTCTCGCATTTGTTCGCCCGGGCAGCCTTGATCCACTGTGGAATCGAGAAATAACTGAAACCTGTCTTAAGTAGCGACACACTCTGAATATCTACTATAAGGGGCATGCCAAGTTTAGATCATATTGAACGAGACTGCGTCATTCATGGCCTTTGCGGTGTTGAAGCTAGGGACGACGCTGCACTTTTCGATTCACAGTGAACATTTGCAGTTGCGGGCGGGTAGACGACCGCTATTCTATCCACCGGAATCGCAGCCCGCCGTTCTATTAGCTTGTAACTGCGACTTGAGCACAATGAATGCAGCGAGCCTAAGTTCGGCTTCCTTAATTTGTGTGGAACACTCGAGCAAAATGTTCTGTTGGGGAACATTGGGCAAGTCATGCCGTGTCACTTCCGTTTTATTGATGTCCGTTTCTTGCTGGTGTGTACTTTAGAGGCCTGTTCACATATAAAGCACAGCTCTAAATTAGTGCTACAGACACTGCACGGATTGCTCTGCTGCATGTGACCCTGCCTTTCCTGTTTACACACATAATGCAGCGCTGGCTCGGTGCTGAGTTAATGCTGACTCTAGCGCTGATGCAGGGCTGGCTTTGCTCTATCTCTGCGCTGTGCTGCATGTGTAAATCGGGCGTTAGGGTTTTGGGCTGTTTGGGAGCGCACTGGATGGGATTGGAATTGGATCGGAAAGAGTTAAGCAGTTATTTCCAATGCAGAAGTCAGGTTGTTTTGTTTTTGTGTGTGGCATTGCCTGGTTGAATTTTTTGTGATAGTGCCACACTTACTCGGCATCCAACATGAGAAACTCGCAAGCTCGTTGCTTTGCGTCTGCACGCAGGTTACGACGGAGACAGCAGCGAGTCGGACAGCGACCGTGATTGGATGAGCGCTCTGGACACCCAGCGACCTCACCTGCCACCCTTCTGGCTCATTTTGTGTCCTTTTCTCGACCGTGTCGACGTCTTCTTTCATGTCAGGTGAGTGTCCTTTGTGCCCCTTTTGCAAAGAATATTTTGTGTGAGTAGATTTACATACTTCAAAGTTGTTTTCAGACAATGTATTGATCTGACAGAGGTAACATCTTTAATTTAGAAACCAAACAGCAAAGGATACTATACCTGGATGCTGCTATATTGTGTCCCTGAATCTCTTTTTTTTTGTTTCTTAATTCCTCGAATTCCTGAAGTGTTGCCTTCCAATGAATTCCGGCTTCCAAGACGAGAACTAGGGCGATTATTGTAGTTATTTATTCCTGTAGTCATTTTGCAGACTCCGCATCATTGAGGCACAGCCTCAATGATGACTATGATGCTAATGGCGGAGAGGATGAACATTGTCATGGTTGGGATTATGTTCACGACCTAAAACGACAGGTTCTTCATATTGATATTTTTTCCATTGGGGTGGCGAAAGGTGATGAGGATTGCACTGTTGTCCGGTCTAGGTAGGCTTTTGGTACTTTTAATTTATTATTTGTTTGACATGTTTCTTGGACTTCAGGGAGCAGCCGGAGGAAAGCGTAGAGCTCAAGCAGGGGCTGGTGGTGTTTGAACGTGTCATCGGGATCATTCAGGACACCTGCAAAATTGTCAACCAGGTACAAATTCACTGAAAACGCTGTTGCATTTTTTTTAGATGTTTGTAGAATTGCTCTGTGTTTGTGTTGACTAGAATTGTATCCAATCAATGCTGGGAAGTGCATATGATAGAGTGAAAAGGTTGCTAAGCTAAGGTATTGCAACATTGTTGTGCTCGTGACTATGTTGTAAAGCCATAATAACGAAGAGCATAACATAGGCATCATGTTCCATACATAGGCATCATGTTCCATACATAGGCATCATGTTCCATACATTTAAGTGTTTTAGTCGAATAGCCTTTGCGCTCTGCAACTGGAGGTCTTCTTTAGGACATTATTTGGTCAGCCTACCTTGTTTAAGGTGAAATTTGTTTACCTAACATATTATAGTGATGTTTGTTTGTCGTCTTGTCTTTAGATCCTGCTGCTGCAGCACCTGAACAACACGCGCATGTGCAATCGTCTGCTGGTCCCAGAAGCTGCCGAAGACATCTGGAGTCGTGACACTGAGGTCGCTCTGCATTCGGCCTATGGTACGGCTTTTGATATTTGGGACAACCGGCTTTAATGGATTGTAGTGAGTGTGAGAAACAGTATGTTAATCAATATTTGTTTGCTGCATGCTTCATTATTGCTGCCAAGATGGAGACGGAATTGGAGACGGTCAGGGAGACTACCTGGAGGCTACCCTCAAGTTTAAGCCCGGAGCCTTCGACTGCAGCGTCGTCTGGTCTACCCATTTTAGTCTACACCCGCGGCTCAACATGGGACCTGGTCGTAGCGGCGTATCGAGAGGTGAGGCGAACCTATCGCGCACGTGATGGTTGGTTGTGTGAAATCATGTAGTAGTATACCGTATTTACTCGCATAATGAACAAAATATTTTTTATTAAAAAATTGACAAATATTTGGGGGTCCTTTCATTTCGCGGTGTAAAATTTTTGCATTTACACTTTTATGCAAATGTCATTTTAGGTGTTAATTGACACGGCAGGGTACCGTGGCACGTCTCCTCTGATGGTGGCATACCCACGGCTGGTCGTGGGTGCTCCACAGGAACCATGCTCTACGAATTGCTAACCCTTTTTAGGCCGCTTTCGGCATGCCTCTTGCCGAAGGAAAAGCGCCCAGCGAAGCTCACTCGGCATGGAGAGCGGCGCGACCGTTCTTAGGCCTAACCACTTTCACGATTCCACTGTCCGAAAGTGGACCACAGACGACGGCGTGTTTCTTGACATCGATGCATCCAATGGGCAAAGCATATCCGGGGCTGGGCGATTCCTCGACCCCAGCTTCGTTCGGTGTGCGTGCCGCTCCGTTACTGTTGATCACTTCTGCAACTACGCACTTGCAGCCATTACGAAAGCGTGTATTGCTATGGCTTGGCTCGGCTTGACTTGGCCTGGCCACTTGGCGGCAAAAGAAGGGGGGCTCGGTGGCCAGCTGAGTTGGACGCAGTTCGAGACTCGCGGTGCCGAAAATTGAAGGTGCGTTCATTACGCAAGGAGAAAAAGAAAAAAGTAAAAATATTGATGCCCATTGTGGGGGGTGCGCTCAATATACGAGTGCGTTCATTATGTGAGTAAATCGGTCGGTGTCTGTGCCTGCACTGTCTTTTGTGGGTTTTGATTACTGCAAAGGTTTCTGCCAATGCTTTGTTGTTCGTATTTCGATGTATCACAATTGCAGGTCGACCCATTTTTTAATTTTTGAAAATTTGAAGGGGGGGGGGGGTTGGGTTGGGTTGACCTGACCTATGACAAGAACGCAACAATCGCAATATCAGGAACACTTCGGCTTGTTTTGAGTTCAGCCGGATGTACCTGTAGCATTGAGATTTGCAAATCAGCCCAAATGCACGGCGGTAAACGGTGCACAGTACACTGCCCTGCCCAATAGCGCATAGCGCTCTCCCGAGTCCTGGGGTGGCGGCACTTGATGTAAGGGCCATGCTGGAACAGCCGCTGGAACAGCCTCGCCCTCTGTTGCTTGTTTTTGCATGATGCACCGTCGCACGTTGTTTGATCGGGTGTTGAGATTGTGCGACATGCAAGGTCCGGACAGTTTAGGTTTTCGGTCGTTGTTTGTTGGCCATTGTTCACCCGAAAGCAGTTAACAACTACACCGCTGGACACAAGTTCGACCTGTTTGAGGAAGTGGTGCACCAAGTGCATCTGCAATGGGACAGGATGTTTTAACTGTGACAACGAAGAAGCTTCAGCGGGCCAAAGTTTCGATACCTCTGGATGTTTTCCGGAGTTGGAGGTTAAGCTTGCAACACATGTCGCAGAAGTGCACGATCGGTCCCTGCCCATGATATGAGACACAATCGCCGAGGAAGCGTGGAAGATGCGGTTGATGCTGTCATTTTCCAAGTGGGAGATTCTGTTGGCCAACACCGACAACGTGTTTTGGGAACGTAGCAGTGATGATGACGAGAACGACAGCACCAGTACTGACAAAAAATGAACTGAGAACGATAGGGAGGGGCTTCAGTTGTCTTGCCTCCAGTGTGAGCTTCCTAGCTTGGATAATGCTTCGATATTGCACCTCGCGCGTGCATGTGCAGCTAAAGCACGCCAGAAGCAACGTTACTAGATTACCTCAGTTGTGGAACTCTTGCAGAAAGGGGTATTCCCCCTCACTCACTTCAGTCCGTCTCCTCTCGTTCGAAGCGCCATCTAGATTTTCGCTTACGAATTGTGCCTCCCATAGAGTACGGTGGAACGCCATCTAGACGCTGTGCTTCGAAACTTACATATTCTATAGAATACACTGCAGTTACCATAGCAGCTATCCGGCGCGTCGTACAAAGGGAGGCGAGTCGTGATGAGTGAGGGGGGGTACTGCTCGTGCAAGCGGTGTCTATGAGCAGTTCCATAACTCAGCGAATCTAATAACGTTGGTCAGACGGCATAGAGTGCGCGCTGGGGCCCAAGCATTCGAAAGAGGCGCCCTGCCGTTCTCGCATGTTCGCTGTAAAATGCCCCTCTAAAATATCATTTCTTTCTGTTTTGCTGGCACGCAACGTGGGGAGGGTCAACTTCCTATAGAGTCGGCTTACAGTCTTGTAAATTCGGTACTAGATGCAGCAGTGCATCTGTTACAATTTATTCTCGGGCACTATTACTACATACACATTGTATCTCGTGTCAACAAAAAACGTACCTCGTAGGCTTTGTCACTGCTTCTATAGACTTGCCCTTTTATATCTGCTCAATTGCAAGCAAAATGTTACAACCATATTGGCACTTTCCTTATTGATGTTTAATTGCGAGCTCCTGAAGTTCAGAGGCAGCATTTATTATTGTATAAAAGGTGTGGATCTGCACAGAGTTCCATTTGTTTGTAATGCTTTCCTGGACTTTGTGGTCTTAACTTGGGGCAGTAGTACTGGTGACTAGGATTTTTTGATGGACTAGCTGAACAAAGATTGCACCACAGACCAAAAACACCATTCATACTGCTGGATAGTGTTGTGTTGTGTTGTGTGTGATGTAACCTTTGTTCAGCTTTTCCATCGTAAACAATGAACCAACTAACTCTGGTGACTAGGGCTGTACAAGTATTTAAATTTTCAAAGAGTGGCCTCGAATACAAAAGACACAGTTCAGGCACTTGTTTCAAGACAAGCTGTGATATTCGTAATTTTTCCCCGGGTTTTGCCAGTTGGTGCTTTTGATTGGTAGCAGGCACTTTGAACCAATAAATAAATATCTCTTCACCGTTCACCAGGTTTACAAGCACTGCGGGCAGTTCTGACTGGATTCTCGGTCAACAACCGGAAGAACATGTTCGTCTACCAGGAGAACTCCGGCCCCGTGTTCTATCTGCGGTGAGTGGGCCGTACCGTGTCTGCGAGCGACGGTGACCTCTGCAGTTTAATGTCTAGCCTTTGTAATCTGGCATCAAGAGAGCCCTTGGCTCTGTCTTGTAGTACCGTATTCACACGATTCTAGATCGATCATTCTTTAATTTTTTTAAATCTAAACTTGGGGGTAGAGGGTCGACTTATAATCGAAACTAGAGCATTCCACTGCCTACGAAACCAAAACGGCCGCGATAAAGGGAACACCTCAGTTCGCTACGTGCTCAGCTGGCTGTGCCTGCAGCATTGCACCATTCTGTGCACTCGTTTTATAATTACTCTTTTTTAGAGCGCAGCTCTTGGGCGCTCGTTTCCGGCTTGAGCTGCGTCGCCGTCGGCGTAACTGCGCGTAACCCTCGTGAGGGTTATGAGGGTTACTCTCACGACGGTTACCCTCACGAGGATCATGAGAGTTACCCTCGAAACCCTCGTGAGAGTAACCCTGGTAACCCTCGTAACCCTCATGAGGGTTACGAGGGTTAGTTACCCTCAAAAGGATTACCCTCAAGAGGGTTATGAGAGTTACCCTCACGAGTGTCACGAGAGTTACCTTCACGAGTGTCATGAGAATTACCCTCACGAGGGTCACGAGGGTTACCCTCACAAGGGTTACTAGGGTTACTCTCACGAGGGTTACCCTCACGAGGGTCATTTATTTACATACCTCTAAAGGCTCCACAGGAGCATTACATAGAGCGGGGTGTCGTATAAACTTTTATTATAATCATACAATATTTCACAAGAAAAAAATAAAAAATGAAAGCCGTTTACAATTCCCTGTAACGCCGGTTAGAGCGCAGCTCTTGAAGAGGAAGATGGAAGCGTACTGAGGTATAGGTGACTCCTTGAGGTCACGTGACCTCAAGGGGGTCACGTGACTTGAGGGGGTCACGTGACCTCCGGGGGTCACGTGACCTCAGGGGCTCACGTGACCTTTGGGGGTCACGTGACTTCAGGGGGTCACGTGACCTCAAGGCGGTCACGTGACTTCTGGGGGTGACGTGACAAGGGGTCAGGTGACCTCAGGGGGTCACGTGACCTAAGGGGGTCACGTGACCTCAAGGGGGTCACATGACTTCTGGGGGTCACGTGACCTTCAAGGCGGTCACGTGACTTCTGGGGGTCACGTGACCTCAAGGGGTCAGGTGACCTCAGGGGGTCACGTGACCTAAGGGGGTCACGTGACTTCTGGGGGTCACGTGACCTAAGGGGGTCACGTGACTTCTGGGGGTCACGTGACCTAGGGGTGTCACGTGACCTGGGTGGGTCACGTGACCTCGGGGGGGGGGGGGGGGGTCACGTGACCTCGCGGTTACGCCGACAACGACGCCGACGGCGACGCCGCTCAAGCCGGAAACGGGCCCCTAAGAGCTGCGCTCTAAAAATAGAAGACATCATGTCACTCTAAACAGAACCATGAAGGGAAGACATTACATAACAAAAAGGCCACACACGCACTCACATCATTGGATGCAGTCGACGTGCTAGAAAAAACAAAGTAATAGACTGCCAGCAAGCGAGGAACAAACATACAGGGCAATATATGATTCATTCACCCTAAAGATTTACGCAATAACAACATAAATGTATCTTGATCAGTGATCGTCGCAATTTCGCTTGCCAACTCATTCCATTCAGTCGCCGCTTATACGAACGGGGAATATTTGAACAAATTAGTTCTTGCAAATGGAATATGAACTTTGTAACAATGATCATGACGAGGGGAAATGCGAGTCGGTGGGAGAATGTTGTTTTGACGGAAATCTGAGGAACTACGATAGAGTTAGTGAAAATGGGATAACCTTGCTAGGTATCTTCGCTGGTGGAGAGTCAATAAACCAAGTGAACACTTAAGTTGACTGACGCGTATAGGTGAATACGTTTTTAGTATAAACCTGGTGGCCCTGTTTTGTAGTGATTTTAAATTATTAATTAAATGTTTTTGATGCGGGTTCCAAATTATAGCTGCATATTCCAACTTTGGCCTAATGAGGGTAGAGTATGCAAGTAGTTTGGTTTCTGCTGTTGCCATATATAATTGCCTCCTTAAGAAACCAAGTGACTGGTTAGCCTTCCTAAGGATATAATCTAGATGAGTGTTCCAGGAGAGGTTGGGAGTTAAGTGGACTTCTAAATATTTATATGTGGATACTTTATCCAATTTTGAATCTATAACATTGTAGTCGTATTGAAAAGATGAGCAACGATTGGTAAATGTTATTATTTTTGTTTTATCTATATTTATCTGCATTTGCCACGTGTCACACCATGAAAGTATGATATCCAAATCACTTTGAAGAGTTAGGCAGTCGCTTTGACTAGCTATTTGACGGTATACCACACAGTTGTCTGCAAATAGGCAAATCTTTGAAGAAATGTTGTTAGGGAGGTCATTTATATAAATTAAAAACAAAAGTGGTCCAATAACAGATCCTTGAGGGACACCAGATTTGACATGTATAGGTGGTGAGGTGATGTCATATGTAAGTACTGATTGTTTCCTATCGTGCACAAACTCACGAATCCATGTAATTACCTTATCATTAATTTTGAGATATTGTAGTTTTTTTTATCAGATGACTGTGTGGTTCACGATCAAAGGCCTTCGAAAAGTCTATAAAAATAACGTCGATTTGTGAGGATGAGTGAATACAGGTATGCAAATCCATGTGATCTCAGGATTACCCCCTGAGGTCACATGACCCCCTGATGTTACGTGACTTCCTCAAGTCACATGACCCCCTAAGGTCATGTGACCCCCCCTTTCAGGTCACGTGACCCCCCGCATGTCAGGTGACCCCCTGAGGTCACGTGACCCTCTGATGTCATGTGACCCCCCCTGAGGTCACATGACCCCCCTTCAAGTCATGTGATCCCCCTCAGGTCACGTGACCACCCTGATGTCACGTGACCGCCCCCCTGAGGTCACGTGACCTCGGGGCGGTTACGTGACCTCAGGGAGTCACCTATCCCTCAGTACCCTTCCATCCTCCTCGTCAAAAGCTGCGCTCTAATCTGACGTTACAGGGAGTTGTAAACGGCTTTCTTTTTTTTTATCTGCACAAGGGGTATGTATGTTGCAGTTTGCATATTGGCATGAACGCACGGGATACACTGCAACAATCGTTGCATAGAACGGGTGGGTGTGCGCCCTGTCTTGGGGGAGGGGTAACAACAGTTGATGTAAAGGTTGTGCCGGAAAAGCGGTGAAACAACCTCCGATAGTGCGGTCATGCGTCTTTCTAACTGTTTGAAAACAAGGAACGCCGCGTCAGAGGGTACCGTGCCACGTTTCTATGTGTTGACGTGCATGGTCTGGGCAGTCTAGGGTTTTGGCACTCGTTTACGGTCATTCTTCATGCAAAATAAACTACCGATTGCACTGTTAGATGCCAATTTGGTGTGTCGGAGCGGGTGGTGTGCCAGTGACGTCTGAAAAAAGCACAGTATCTTTGACAGCAAACACAAAAGTTTCCACGGGCTAAAATCTGGATGCTTTCATAAGGGCAAGCATGCAACGCACCAGTGATCCCTGCCCGTAATGTGTGACGCGATTACTAAACAAGCGCGGAAGATGTGGTCATTCATAAAGTGCAGCAGATCTTGTTAGGCTACGTGCTTTGGGAATATATGTTACAGTGATTATCACGTGAACAACAGCACTAATGAGGATGAATCATAATTTAGCAATTAATAAATGTTTGCCACAAAATGCACCCTAAAGTATAATTTTATTTTTTTGCTGACATGCAATGTGGGGGAGTCATCTTACAGTCATGTAGATACGGCACTACTCATTTTTGGATGGACCATGTTGGTTTATTTAGCCAATTTTTTGTTATTAGAACTTGCTCTTTCCTAAATGGTTAATAGGACATTGTAGCAAAGGAGACATACTGTAATATCCCAAGAGATGCCCCATCCCCGAAAGATAACCCGCCCCCTATTTTTGGCATGATTTGCTATATTTCCAAAAACACCGAAAGATAGCCCACATAGTTTCTCAAAGCCTTTCAGCACTGTTTCATCATGCATAAACGAAAACCCAGCTAAACTCTTGAAGGTTGTTCAGAAGCCTCCACTTGTCCTTTATAAACTAATTTTAATTTAACCGTATTTATGGACTGTGACCTCAGAAAGTACCAGGCCTTGGGATGGCAAGTAAACGACGGATTTGGCATAAAATTAAACCTATAAGAATACCAGCTATGCCTTGCTATCTTGCTATATACAAATATCCTTTCTTCAACTTCAAATTAAAAAAAAAAACAAAAAAACTTCAAATTATGAACACAGGTTGTCAGGGCATTTCTGCCTAACATATAGTACTCTTACATAACAGACAATGTTTAATTTTGAAAATTTTGCTGTTGTGTGGATATCAACATTCACAAAGTTTGTTTCTTTTATGTACTCCAGGCTTGTGTGCACCGTCCTGTTTTGAAAGTGTGCTTTTCTCCCGAGCACGTAATACGATATTCATACTTTTCGAAGTGATCACGGCAAGTTACTCCACTGAGTGCGCTTCTTAGCAAGCACCGGTGCAGAGAAGCAACACTTGCGGAGCTTACTTTTGCGGGTGTTGCTTCTCAGCAAAGCACCTCTGCTCGGTAAGAAGTGCACTCAACGGGGCTAACCCGTTGCAATCAACACTTCGAAAAATATGAATATCACAGTTCACCTCGAGGTGAATATCGAATTGCGTATTATTGAAAACTACTCTTCAAAATTCTGAATATTTTCATAACGAGAGAGATTAACAGTAGGTGACAGGTTAAGAACCGAGTACGCTCCACCTCCAGCATGCGCTCGCGCGTACTGTTAAAGGCAGAAAGTTTGCACTGCAGACAGAGCCTCTACTACGTTATTAACCTGTCACCAACTGTAGGTGTATGTACTGTTTGGAACTAACTGTAGTAGACTATTGGGATGCATTAGGTGTCATAAAAACCTACATTGATCGTGTTGTTGCTTTTTTACCTCGCAGGCTTCACGAGACGCAGTGCCACAAGCGGCACGGTCGGGCAGACGATGATATATCCCTCTCAGGTTCGTCGCTGCTCTTCGGTGATTGTAGAGAACTTGAATTCAAACTTTAAACTCAAGCTTTGCCGTATGTACACGACTCTATGCACACTCCATTCTCCTAAGACTTGGAAAACAAGTTTGTAGGCGAATGGCATGCCTCGAATGTGAACACTGCTTGCTTTTTCTTTACTGCCATCATTTGGAAAGAAAGAGGTTCCTTAGCACCATTTTATTTTTTCGGTTGCGATAAAACCCTCTATGTGACTTGACATATAATTTCTGTAATTGCTTTTGATTTTATGTTTTGTTCATCAACCATGCTTGTAACACAGTTAAAGTCTAGAACCAGACGTAAGTGTGATGTAAAACACTTAGCCTTCGCAAGTCTATTTTTTTTTCCTCTCAAACTTAATTGATCGTCCAAATCGCTAAATTTTTTAATTTTGAAGGCTCATAAAAATTTAATGTGATGGTAATTTTCGAATTCGGGGTGGGACAGAGAACACAGTATGGGAGTTTTCACCGGGACAACTAAGACAGAAATGTAACCGTATTGGGGTATAACTAACACAAACATAAATCTGAGAATTTCACCACTTTTTCTGGACGGTCGTGTCTTTCAGGCTCGAGAAGCTCCTCGCTCGTCAGCCTCGTACAAAAGAAGCCAGGCGCGGATCAGGAGGAGGAATTCGTAAGCACTTTTTCTCGGACTTATGCGGGCACAGATCTTGCGGCGTGTTCTCCAGAACCTCCGTTCCTCGACTCGCAGGACTTCCGTCCCCGCCTGAGTTCGGGGCACTCGGACCGAGACCAGTCGCACGACACCGTCAGCGTGACCTCGCACGCTTCCGGCAGCCGCAGCAAGCCCCAGCAGTGCGTGGTCATGCACGTCCACGGGATCGTGCAGCCAGGCAAGTGCCACGATGTTGTCTACGTTATGCAGCTGTTTACGGTGACTCCAATTCGTAACGCGTACAGTCACTGATAAGACGAGAATGTTGGGGTGCCTCTTTCGATTGCACGGCTTCCAGCACATGCGAGTTGCACTCCTGCATGCTTTGGCCACATGTGCACACTCAATCCTCACGAAGCATTAACTAAGGTAGGGAGGCGGGGCAACTGAAACCGAAACCCCTCTGCCATTTTCATTCTGTCAGTGACTCTAGATGCAAGCGGTGTGTGTTCAGAAGCATACTTTGCACTCTCTGGTTGGGGCTGAATGTCTTCAACAGCCAAGAGAAGCCATAAGGCAGATTTCAGTTGCGTTGCAACAGTCGCCTCCCCTATTTTCTTTAGGTGAGTCGTAATGTGTCGCTTGCTAGCATTTGGATCAGGTGTACAGATGCAGGCGTTGTCTCTCCAACTATAAAAATCTTTTGTATTGTGGGATGCATGTTGGTGCAATGATGTCATGCATACAGTGGAGTCCATTGTGTCTTACTTACATTTAACTGCCTTTATTAAAAACACAGGTTACAAGCTCGTGCTTTGAAGTGGCCTTACTGTATATAAATACTGGTCACTCAAAAGGCACCCTGTATAAAAAGCATGTTTTACGAAGCAAAGGTGCTTCTTATAAGCGGGTTTGACTACGGGGTGCATGGCAGTTTGTAACAGGCGCCGACCTAGTAGCTAACTGGGAAACTTTTTTAACATGAGCATCATGGGGGTGTAACATACACACATAAACTAACTACGTACGTATAGTGTCTCATTTACTAGGCAATTACTAGGGTTGATAATGGGGCTAGTTGGTAATCCATAACAGCAAGTTCAGCGCAAAAGACGAGGACAACGAAAGGACATAATCAAGCATCACGCGTGCGTCCTTTGAAGACCTTTATCTTTTATCTCTAAATTAGAGAGTTTCAGCTGTTCTAAAACCGTTCTCCTGACCACTAAGCTCTTGGTAGCATAACCTGAGTCAAACATTCCTCTCTTGTGTGGGACAATTATCGGTGTCGAGAAGGCCATTTTTATCTGAAAATGGCTTCAGTAATTGAGCAGCTCGACATTGTTGATGCGCAGTCCCAGGACGCGGCAGCCAAAACTTCCCGCTCATATTTCAGGCTTAGTTTAGAAATCTAAATCCTAGAAGGTGGTACATATTTTAGAATTTTTGTCTTTTGCAGGTTTTGCCATCAAGGAGGAGCTGGTGTCGGTAATGCAGAACAAACTCGACGATGCGGTCCTCGAAGTGTTGACGACCACATTGGGGCGCAATCGCTCGTGCAACCTCACGCTGGACGATGTCCAGGTTGGAATCTCACCCTCCCCTTTAAGTTGGCACAATTCATTGTCTTGCCTGAGCTTGTCATCAGTTCTTCAGCTTAGAATTCCTTCTGAGACGCTTTAAACGGAATTAGCATGAAATAGCAATCAAGTGTCCATCTATTAGTTGGAAATAAAAAAGTGAACGCCGTTTACAACTCCCTGTAGCGCCGAATTAGAGCACAGCTCTTGAGGAGGAGGAGGGAAGGGTACTTGGGGGGGGGGGGGGGGGGGGTCACGTGACCTTGGGGGGTCACGTGACGATGACAATGCTGATGATGTCATCTGTGACGTCACTGATGACGTCATCAGTGACGATGACGATGCGGATACCGATGACTTCATTAGTGACGTCACTGATGACGTCACCAGTGATGATGACGATGCGGATGCCGGTGACGTCATCAGTGACGATGATGTCATCAGGGGGGGGGGGGTCACGTGACCTCAGAGGAGTCACCTGACTTCGGGGGGCCACGTGACCTCGGGGAGGGGGGGGGTCACGTGACCCCAGGGGTGGGGCTCGTGCGATGCATTATGGGACATTTCCCATAATGCACCGCGCTGTTACGCCGACGCCGCTCAAGCCGGAAACGGGCGCCTAAGAGCTGCGCTCTAATAAATAAGGGATAGGTGCTTGTTAGTATGTGCGAGAGTAGAAAAGTGGAAAGGGCACATAATAGTGTAGGCTCTTGTTTGAACTGATGGAACGCTATAACAGTGGGGGGTGTCTGGCAGAAGCTCTAATTTTTAAGGTAGCCCCGCTGCTCGAGTCAAACCTGCTTTGCGCCAGTGGTCTCTCATCAAGATTTGCCACCTTGCACCGGCGCATGTACGTAAAACTTCACTGCCTTGCACCGGATTCTCGCAAAATCAACTGACGTGAAGAAATAGCTCGGTTAGCTCAGAAGTTTGTCGAGGTGGGTGCTTGATATGTCCTTTGCCTATATTTCCAATGTGGGGGTGGGCGCTTTTTGCGACATGGGTGCATGCTTGGTATTTTACTGTAGGACAAAGTGCTTTTTTTCGGAATGCGGAAGCTTCCGAATTTAGTCTTTCTTTTGAACGTGGAGACAGGGTGTTCCAAAAAATATGCGGGGTTCTTTTTACCGTAAAAATAAAATTACGTGTGGACGCCCTCCTCCGAGAGATTGCATATTCAGTTTTTTTGGCTAAATATCTAACATAAGAATTTCGAAACATCGCCCATCCTTTTGTTCCTGTCGGACATCACGAATTGTCGGATTGGAATCACATCAACCGCACGATGTGCAGTAGCTGTACGTGTGACAAGTGACTTCATAGCTTGTTCCTGTGTTTTTTTGTCCGTGATCTGCATGCATGATATCGGTTCCCTTAACAAGCAAGTTGTTCCCGCATGTATATATTGCATTGTGAAATGCGAATTTGCTGCTTCTGCGATCTGCGGTATCCGTTCCCGTCACGTGCGAGTTCGTAGCAGATTCCCGCGTTTATGTCCGCAACCTGCACGCGCGATTTCGGTCCCTGTGATAGGCAAGTTCGTAGCAGGTTCCCGCGTGTTTATTGCATCGTGCAATTTGAACCTGGTGTGTCCGCGATCTGCGGTATAAGTTCCCCTTATCACGTGATTTGTAGTGGGTGCCCCGGTGTTTATCCCCAATCTTTTTATAAAGTTTTCTTGTCGCATTTTTAAAGATAGCCTGTCCCATGTTTTAATTTTGGTAGGGCATTGTTACAGGATTTCACGGTATGCATCACCAACCGCTCATTCTCCGCCAAAATGTAACACTAATGGTCTGAACCAGAGCCAAGGTTGCAGAGCTAACTGTTATCTGGGTAAAAAGTTGAAAGTGATTTTCTGAAATGTTTGATGGAAAAACGTCAGTCGATGGATCCCTCGAGTACATGGAGCTGAGTGACACCGGTTACCAAGAATGGGCATTATTTTCCCATTGAAATTTTCAGAAAATTGCTTATAACATTTTAATAAGATAATGGTTTGTTCCGAAACTTCAGCATCTCGTTTGAACGGCTAGCGCCACATTTGGGCAAAGAAAGTATGAGCGTTCAATAATGCAATGTTTACTTTTTAGTAAAAAAAAAATTCTTTTTTTTTGGAAGGTTGTTGGATCATTTTTGTGAAGTTCTGTCTTTATTTGTCATGTTTCGTGTTTGTCCTCTTGTGTTCTGCACATCCAAGAGTCATTTCTGTAGCAACTAGCAGTGAATGGTGTAATTTCTGGGATGGCCACCCCTGCGCTAACTGCACGCTCGAACGCTCATTCCCTCCCATGCGCAGTTCATTCAGAAGCCGCAGCGGGAGCCGACGCTGCAGCTGTACTGCACAGTGCAGGCGCAGCTGCTACCCTACCTGCAGGCCATGATGGAGTACCTGCGCCAGGACCTGCACAACTTTCTCTACACCCCCAAGTACACCGACCCCAAGCCAGAGAACCACTTCAAGGTTGGGACGAGAACAGGCTTCTTAAATGTGACGGCATTCCGAGCAAACCCTGTGCACTTTTGTTTATGTCCTTCGGTTTGCGTCTGTTGCATACCTAGTTAAATAGGTCTTACGCAAAATTGCTCGGTGGTTTAACAACACTGAGAACGTCGCCATTTTAATGTGCGTGGTGCATGTTAAAGACCCCAGGCTAGTGGTTGTACTGCACAGGCTAAATTTCTCGTCTACAGCTGGGAGACAAGTCGCTTGTTGAGGCAGACTTAAGTTCTAGGCTGTATATAAATGTACACACACCTGAATTTTTTTTTAATGTTGCCAAACGTCGTTGGTATTGAAGCACAGTGGAGGCGTCGGAGACAAGCGTACGGGGCAGCATGCGACGGCGTGCAGCTGTGTTTTCCGCCTTCCGTCCGTGGAATGTGAACGAACAGTTTAAGCAAGCCACCGCAACTCCTGACGAAACGCTCGGTGGCTCGTGCACGCTGGGGACAACCTCGTCGAAGCAGTGGAGGGCGTCCTATGCCTTCGCTGTAGAAGCTTGCTCACCGCGGTGCGGTTGGAATGCGATCGTACAGTTCAGTTGCGAGCATTGGTCGATCTATCTTCCCTTGGTAGCTGAGGGCCCTTGGCACACATCCATTTCTTTAAGCAGGGGCAGAAGACAGCGAGCTAACACATTCTCCTCGCACAGCTCAAACCTTCCGCGTCAGCCTCACAACCGTTCGCCCGTGCGATCACATCCAGATCGCTCCTGCCACTGTACTTGCATAGTAGTAGTTTGTATGGGTGGAACACAAAATTATCAAAAATTCATGTCATTCCTCACTAGACTTTTCGAGTGTTACTGCTTTGACAAGAGCGGGGGCTAGTCTGTCAAAAACTCAACCGCAAGGTCGCCCAGCACGGAGGAAATATTGACTATTTTTTGTGCCCTTGTAAGTAGTAAGAGCCACTACTACGCCTGCATGTTCATCCATTTAGGTAGACTCCATGCCACCGTGCGAGCACAATGCCCCACACACCGTTATAGACACTCCACGTGCCTGCGAGCACCCAGTCCGGTGGACAAGCAATACGAAGTGATTTCACGCATCGCTTCTTCGGTACTTTCTCTCTGCTTCGTTTACTGCTGAGAAAGCAAACTTCGTGCCACAAAGCTTGTTCTCATCACTGTTCATGATTCCGCGTTGTTTGCACGACGGTACGCAGTGGTTTACGGGCACTTTGCCGGCAGTGAACGTAACAGTCGCATGCGCACGTAGACCCGACCGGCACTCCGCCTCTCGCCGACATTAAAATGGTGGGCGAGCTTATTTTTGCGTTCACCAGATGGCGCAGCTAATTTCGCGTAAGGTCTATTATGCATACAGGGGGTTTGCAAACGGAGTATGTGCACAGGGATATGCATACAGGGTGTAATGCACCCGACGAATATGATATGATTAAGGTCTCATGCTTTTGGTGTTTTTTTTTTTTAATTGGGTGCATTTTTTGGGGCTTTATATTATGCCACCGATTCGGTGTCGGATGAAAATTGGGGTTTATCGGGCATCATGTTTAGGAAAATAGGGCATGAACACGGGATTACCCCACCTGAGTGGAACGTCTGCGTGACCCAAAGCCTCAGAAAACGTCTTCATACCGAAAAAACAAAAAGGAAATGAGATGTGTGTGCTTCCGAAGCAAGGAGAAACCTTGCAGATGGTTCATTGGGGGCAGTGTTCGCGCTCAGCACTAGATAAATTTATAATTATAATGCAATTAAATGCAGAGGTGCAAGCGAGCTGGACAAGAATGACAAAAATAATCCCTGGAGAAGGGGAACAAGAGGGACAAAGGACAAACATAAATTGGTTGTGTTTGGAGATTTATGTTTGTCCTTTGTCTCTCTTGTTCCCCTTCTCCAGGGATTATTTTCGTCACTAGACAAAGCTGTAAAAAATTTTCTTCCCGTGAAGCTTGAGTTTTTTTTTTGTTCGTTTTTTTATTCAAGGACGGCCCTGATATTTTGGGGTCTATTGGTTTTCTCAGATTTTGATAAGACCAGCTCGGGGGCTAATTTTCGGGGTTTATCTGTATTTATTGAAAAGGCGAAAACCCCAGATATTATATGTTAGCTCTTGAGAGGCAAGTACAGTTACCAAGGGTCTTATTATGTTGATATACATATCAAAAGAGAGAAACATTTGAATTGCAGCGAGAAGGACAGTTGGATCAGATAATTATGTGGATTGTTTTTAAACGTAGTAGAAAACTTTGTGGATGCCGACGAAAAATATTCTCAGAATTTCAACGCCAGTTCCTAAGCAGCGTAATAAGAAAACATTTCTGCAAGTGCTTACTCTGCAATTTCGGTAACAAACTTTTTTTTTTTTACAGCGGAGCTGTAAACTGCTTGTTCACACTCTTGCAACTGAGTACGACCGAGAGAGACAAGACCGGTTTTTAAGCCTCTTGCAACGTCTTAGAACTAGCTCCGTAGCAGCGCATCTGGTCCTATAAAACGTCACAAGAGGCTTAAACACCGGTCTGGTCTCTCTTGGTCTTACCCGGTTGCATATGTATGAATGGCGCTCTATGGGTTAGTTATGAAACTCGGAACAGCTACCGCCACCTATGAGCGACGATGGCAACCAGGCAACCGGCTTGCCGATTGTCTGGCTGTTGCCGTCGCTCATAGATGGTGCAACCTTTCCAGCCTTTCCACTCTGGCTTACTGACTTGCGGCCGGCCATTACTTCATTACCACCATGGTACAGCTTCGCTGGTCTTCCTTTTTCACCAGAGTAGAAAAGATGAAAGTTTTTACAGCGGAGCTGTTAAGGGCTAGTTTCTCGAGTTTGGTGTCCGGTACCAAACAAATGTCGACACAAAACTACAGAAAACTCTGGACAGCTACCGCTATCTATGAGCGATGGCGGCAACAAGACAACCAATCTGATTGCTGCTGTCACTCATAGATGGCGGCAACCTTTCCAGCCTTTCTGTCAAGGTGTGCGATAATCCAATGGTTGCCGTCGTGGACGTCCTTCCCCCGCGACGCCCAGGAGACATTGAAGCATTCATGATGGACGTTTTCGGCTGGGTCGTGCTCGGCAATGACATGTCTGCCGAAGTGACCGGTGACTTTAACATTGACATTGTACGCCAGGAGGGAAAGTGGCTCACTTCGTTTATGCTTGAGCGCTTCAGGCTTGCGTGTGTGAACGAGCCTACGGTGCCCACGGCCAGGCATCGGACAGGTATCGACCTCATCTTCACGAAGGACGTGCCTGCCATCAGCGTACACCCTACAACAGTGTACCACCACAATCACAAGGCCATGGTCACTGGGGTCGTGAAATAAATAACAACCCCGAATCATTATATATATGTCTGATTCTTTAATTGTTCAAACAACCAATTACCCAATCACACCTTATTTTTTACATTTATAAATACTTCGATTTCCACCATAGTACAGCTTCGCTGGTCTTCCTTCTTCATCAGAGTGGAAAGGCTGACAGTTTTTTTGTCAAGACCTAGTGCAGTTGGATGCATTGATGATATGTATGCAGAACGGAATTCTGGTCAGGACACTGTCAACGTTCGTAATGTATTGGGTTATATTTAAATTCTCCACCAATCAGTGTCCTCAATGTGTGTTTTTTTGTTTTTTTTGTGCAGCCCTATGTTGAGCACCCTGCTCACGCACTGTGCCACAAGGACGAAGATGTCTTCCTCTTCATCCGCTTCAAGCAGGGAACGCCAAGCAACGGTCAGACTTCTCTTGTTTCCCTTGACGACGGGGGCTTTCTAACATCTCAAGAATCCCCTATCTGCCTTGAAAGGCGGCCAGGGAACCATTCCCGGTCTAGGCAGTGATGCAATGATACATTGCAAAGGTCTACAGACCTTGCGAACCACAATACAAGCGTACATTGATGCAATGATACATTGCAAAGGCCTACAGACCTTGTGAACAACAATACAAGCGTACATTGATGCAATGATACATTGCAAAGGCCTGCAGACCTTGCGAACAATAATGCAAGCGTATTTCTGCACGTAATACCAACCTCTGCATATAACCGGTACCTCGAACTTTCTACTTTCAGAAAAAAAACGAAAAAATTCTTCGCTAATTATCCTCCTAATCCTGAAATTACCAAGGGTTGGCTGTTCTGTATTTGTTTTGATTTCTTTTTAAATGCGTAATATTAATGCCCACAATACAACTTCGATTCCCCCGAGCCCGTATGGGTACCTTGCAACAAACATGCAAAAAATAGTGCATCTGAAGTTATACCAGGAATCGGAGGACCGTGATACTGCCGGAGCAGTCAATAAAGTCACTTCAAGCAACAGTAATGCTCACGAGGGGATGTAGGTACAGTGTGAATAAATAGGTGATATGTGATATTTTTAAAAAATATTTAAGTTGAAATTTTGAGTTACGGAACTGACCATAATTATTAATTAATTTAATCGGAAACTTTTGCATCTGGTTCGGATCACTAACGCTTCATTTGAACGGAGAACGAGCGTTCGGTGCGCGTAGTTCATCTTTGTGGCAAGAAAAAACTCCGTAGACTTTTTTTTGTGACACCCCGTAGATGAAAGTAAACTGAACTTAAATCTGAAATAATGCACATCAGAAGATGTGCTTCAAGGTCCCTCCGTCGTGTTGCTCGTGCAGGTATTGCCTGCATCATCCTGTCAATGGTGGACGCCCAAGGCCGCCCCGTCCAGTTCCTCAGCTGCCCGCTTCCCAAGGCTGGGGCCTTCAGCGGCACCGAGGCCCCCACAGAGTTCAAAGACGTCTTGTTCCTCTCGCACGAGCAGGTCGGCGAAGTCGGCGCCGACGGCACGCCCGGTGAGTTCTTGCCAGAGCCGAGAGGTTTGCCAGTCTCCATTGACTGCGTCACGTCCATTATGAGCCTCTAGTCTTTTGAGGTAGGGTGCAAGAACAAAGGTCGCGCAAATGTCTACTGGTCAATACCGTCATTAAACCTAAACTCTGGATTAGCTCTCGATACTGTTTGTCCCACTGAATACAGTATTTACTCGCATAATGAACACACTTTTTTTTCTCGAAAAATTTACATATTTGGGGGGGGGGGGGGAGGGGGGGGGCATTTATTACACGGGGTAAAATTTTTGCATTTACACACTTCGTGTTAATGTCATATCGTATTTACTCGCATAATTTGTGCCCACGCATAGTTTGCCCACTTCTAACTGAAAGCCCAGATTTCCAGAAAAAAAAAAAAAAAAAAAAAAACTTGCTCGCGTATTTTGCGCGCCCTGCAACGTTCTGCGCCAGCTCGCCAGCTGTTCCCAGACGCCCCACGGGCGCGCGAGCTAAGCTGCGGAAATTCCGTGCGGCTGCGAGAGGAGTGAGAGAGGCGAGAGTGAGAGAAAGATGTGACTCTGCACTTCCCTGGCGGGAACTACAAGACGCGCGCGCGCGCCGCTGGCTCAATGCTGCGAGGTGGTTGGCCTGCAGGGGAGTATGACGTCACGCTGAGATTCCCGGATGTGGGAACTGTCGTGTGATGCACGGTTGCGGTCGAGTGGCACAAAGTCTGCGACGCCAAACCGCATGCTTTCCATTGTTCGGATTGTGTGGTTCAAGTTTGACGCCGTCAACAGTTTTCTCAACGATTGCTCTTGTGATGGGTTACAATAACTATACATTGAAGTTGAAGCTCCTCGTGATCAAGTTTGCTGAAGAAAATAAAAACCGTGCAGCTTCCAGGCAGTTCCGGGTGAGCGAGAACCACATACGTTATTGGCGAAGACAGAATTCGCAACTTGCAAGTGCAAGACCAAGAAGAATGGTCTGCGAGTGGGTTCTCAGCGTGGGACATGGTTTCTCCCAGCATTGTCGAGTCGAGCTTCATGAAAACGGAACTATCAAACGCGCTCGACGGAACTGAAGACGATGCTATTTGGAACGCGAGTGACGACGACAACCATGACGATCGCTGCCTTGGTACTGAGTGCGAGAGCTCCACCAGCGACTCAGAGTAAACAAAGCAGGTGCGTATTGTAAAAGAAAAAACGTTTGCCGTTTGTATACTTGTATTTTTATATACCGTATTTACTCGCAGAATGAACGCACTTTTTTTTCCGAAAAATCGATGCAAAGTTAGGGGGGGGCGGGGGCGTTTATTACGCGAAGTAAAATTTTTTCTGCCGTATTTACTCGCATAATGAACGGACCTTTTATCCTGAAAAATCGAAGTAACTTCTTATCTCTTTGCGCGCCGCACCCGACCCCGTAACCAAACTAAGCTGTAAAAAAAAAAGAAAAAAAAAAAAAACTTTTCTGTTTTTTTTTTTTAGTTTCTTGTGGTTTTTTTTTTTTTTTTGCCGCCTTTCGCAAGTTGTTTTGTTTGCTTAGGCGAGGGCTCTCCGCTTATCTTTCTTATCTCCCAGCGCGCGACGCACGACCCCACCTAACCAAACTGCGCTGTGCAAAAAAAAAAAAAACTTTTTTTTTTCTCAGTTCCGTGTTTTTTTTTTTTTGTTTTTTTTTGCCGCCTTTTGCAAGCTCTTCCGTCTCCTTAGAGGGCTTCACCGCTTCTCTTTCTTGCCGCGCGCGAAACCAAAATCCAGACTGCTCTGTAAAAAAAAAAAAAAAAAAGTTTCTTTTCATGTTTTTTTTTTTTTCTTGCTTCGGTTGGATCGTTTCGAATTTTTTTAACGTCTTTTGCAAGGCGTTTTGTTCTCCCCGCTTTCCATGCATTCGCGACTTAGCTGCACCAGGATAAAAAAAAGTGCGTTCGTTTCACGGGCCTGGGGGGAGGGGGTCAAAATTTTGGCATCCAAGTTGGGGGTGCGTTTATTACGCGAGTGAAAAAAATAGTCGAAATTTTGAGAGCCGACCTGGGGGGTGCGTTCATTACGCGAGTGTGTTCATTGTGCAAGTAAATACGGTACATTACAGCCTTTGCAGATGTGTTATTTGGGATGTGCTCGCGTAATTTGCACACCCCCTTTCTGATAACAGATATTTTTTTTAAAAAGTGCTCAAATATGCGAGTAAATACGGTATTAGGTGCCAATATGACACGGCAAGGTACTGTGGCACGTCTCCAGTGACGGAGGCGCACCCACGGCTAGTCGGGGGCGCGCCACAATAACCATGCTTTATAAATTGCAAACCTTTCTAGAGCGCTTTCGGGGTGCCTTCTGCCAAAGGAAAAGCGCCGTACGAAGCTCACTCAGCATGAAAAGCAACACAACCGTTCTTAGGCGATATATATTGCTAGTATCCTGCGGGCACGCTCAGGTATAATCCGCGACTATGCATATAAGAACTCGTACGAAGTCCACCCTCCGACCGCAGAAGCCCACTCGCATAGATCAAGTTTCATTCACGGAGAGGCTACCAGACACTCTCAGCCTACAGCAGAGCGTGCACTTCGCTGTGCCGTTCTGCTGCGGATTAAATGAACGCATTTACCCGGAGTTTGTGAAATTAGGCCTAACCACTTTCATGATTTCACTGTTCGAAAGTGGACCACAGACAATGGCTTGTTTGTTGACATCAATGCATCCGATAGGCGAAGAATGTCCGGGGCTCGGCAATTTCCGACCCAAGCTTCGTCAAGTGTGCACGACACTCAGTTTTATGATTGATCACTTCCGTAACTACTACAACTACGCACTTGCGGCCATTACAAGAGTAGCCTGGGTTGGGTTGACTTGGCTTGACTTTGCCTGACTGCTTGGCGGCAAAAGAAAACTCTAGGCATGGGCGAATAAAGGATTTTGGTTCCGAATCGAATTCGAAGCGAATACCGTAATATCCCGAGTCATCGCCCATCCCCGAGTCATCGCCCACCCCATTTTTTGGGCCAATATCGATTTCCGAAAAAACACCGAGTCATCGCCCACCCCTTCAAATACCCCAGCGCGGACTCTGCGATCCGCGAACACTCATCCTACCCGAATGACGCGGTCGCGGACCTTACAAATGGAGGACGTCCGTGACAAAGTAAACGAAGGAGGGGAAGACACTCCTTTTTTTTTTACGCATTTCCTCCGTGAGCGAACCCAAACTGGTCGTGTATCCGTGCGAAAAGAAAACGATGGAGATAACAAAATAAGAGTTTGTTAACGTAACCGCGGAGTGTTAGGTCAAAGTCTGTCTCCGCCGAAGTAAGGTCACCGCGAACCCGCTCCTTCTTCCCGCCCGTCGCGACCGCGGTTGTGCAATATTTTAGGCAAAGCCAAAGCGTAAATAAAGCTTTGCTGGAACGTCCTACATAGACGTTTGCAGAGCGTCCCAACCGTGCATTGATAGCCCCCCGTGCACGGACGCACGTATGTAGGCACCAAACAAGTTGCGCAAGAGCTTGCAATTGACAAGGCGCCCGACTTGGCCCGACGCCAAAGTATTTGCCAACGAGACCGCCGGCTTTCCCAGCATTGTTCTTGGTCGCTTCTTTGGTCCGCTCACTCGTTGCGCCTGGTCGGTTTTTCTATTTTCTTGTAGACTTTTCTTTCTTTTTCTTTTTTACTAACTAGGAGAACATAATGGTGACATTCTTTCACGGAACAAACGTTCGCGCTATATGCAGATCGGCGGTGTTTCTAGCGCGTATGCAAGCAACGGACTTCGCTATAGTAAAATATTTTTTCGTGAGCATTTTTTTTATAAAACAATGAAACTAAATCGAGTTTTGAGTTTGATGTATCTCTTGTGCATCAGCGCTAGATACGCAGAGAAAAATAGGCGGTTTTTTCCGCTTTTTTTCAAGTGTTTGTGCTCACCCACCGAGACATGGCCCACCCCACTTTTTTAACGAATTTCAGGCGGTAGGGGGGTGGGCGATGACTCGGGATATTACGGTAGTGATTTTTGGCCGAATAATTTCGAATTGAATACAGGGGTGGAACGGCTGCGCCATTTGCGCCATTTCGCGCCAAACGCATTTGTCTGCGCCATCCTGCGCCATTTCACGGAAACTGCGCCACAGCCAATACCTTGCGCCATTATGCACCAAATCGCACAACGTGCGCAAAAAAAAAAAAAAGTATTTTGTTTTGGTTTCGGTTTTTATCGACTCGATTGGCAACGATTAGCGCGTTTAGCTTGGTCGGCCTTGCAATCCTTAGTTCTGTTTATTCTCTCTGTGTATCCCTAGTCCAAAGCGCGCGAAAAAAACTCAGGGTTCGGATTCGAAGTGCTACACCTGCGACTGGATTGTTATTCTTCTACCATAAGCGGTTAAGCAAGTCGGCCGAGGTGAGGTCGAGTCGTTAAGCGTCAAATCGCCTGAGGCTCTGCGGCCCGGGATCCGTACGTCAGCCAGTTGAAAACAAATGAGCAAAAGATTCCTTTTAGTACTTCATCGTTAGAAGTTGCAACCGCATTCCTGCAAGATAAATTGTGATTTGATAGGACTGAAACGCGGTCCGATCCGAAACCTTGCCGGCCAGCAGCTCTTCAGCGAGTGGTAGGTCTACTCCTGCTTATCGCTTTGAATACGATAACTCCGTTAATTGTAGTCTGCTGCTTCGGTATTCAGTTGCACAATAGGATAAACTCGAAATTTGTTTCCCTGTTCCTCCACGCAACTGCACGTCCGTTGCTTTCGCACGTCAAGAGGTTCGCACATATAATTACTATGTCGAGCACGTGTGGGTTGTGCGATAAGCAGTGCTGATTTGCATGTTGAGCAGCTGAAAGCCACTCAGAGAATATCAAGGACACCATCTTCAGAAACATATGGTAGTTGCCTTTTGATTCTCATTAAGGCTCACAAAGTTGCAAGTTTTCGCATCTGTTACACTGTTATTCCATCTACCTAGGTCCCTAACCACTCATGTTCATCTGTGGTGCTAAGCAGAATTGAAATTGCTCCCGTGCTTGTCCAAGACACAAGCTGAAGTGCAATGAAAACTGATCTGGGCTGCTCCTAGCATGCTCCAGAAGGTAGTTTTAGCTGCTCCCAACCTGCTCCAAAACAGCGGTTTCAGCTGCTCCCGTGGCTGCTCCCAAATACATTTCATGAGTTCCACCCCTGGAATAGTTCGAATAGTACAAGCAACAAATACCACAAGATATGTTTAAACTACAGTTTTATATTTGCCCTTATTTGGTATTAGAAGTACTGTAATTGTTAATTTTAAGTGCATTGAGCTCGGGAGCACGAAATGGTCTAAATGGTCGGAAGCTTGCGCACCTGGCCGGAAATCCAAGCCAGAGTAAGTCAAACCCGTTTATATCAAACTCGCAAAAAAAGTCTACCAGTTCGATATAGCTGGTAATTCGATGTAAAATTTTTAATGAATTTGACTCTCAAAAATCCACTTTCTGCTGAAATATTACAGAATAAAGTAGTCTTGCATCTTCTGCTGCTTTTGTTCAGTGCATCTGCGATAACAATATTTTTCTACGCTATCGATGGACTCCAAAATGCTGAGGCCACTGCCTTCTATATTCGCACATTAGCGCCAAACTATGCTGAGAGCACGAAGTATGTCTGAGCAGCAGAGCCGTATATGGGGAAAATTTGGTCAGTCTATGATCTCGCCGCCGTAACGCTTTCCTCCCAAGTGAGCCAATCAGCATGCAGCGTCGAGCGAGAGGCATGAGCGCATGCGCGTGAACTCCCGGCTGCTCCCACCTGGGTGGGGCGGGCCGCCGTCTTCAATCATTCTCCTGGCGGAATGCGTGGGATTGGCATCTAAATCTTAATTATTGCCTTTTATATCGCTGTCTCTGGCAAGAAAATGACATTCTGTTATTCCTCGGTGGGTTAAAAAGCTAATGAAGATTTTTCGGCGTATGGCCACACACTTTTATTCAGGCAAAAAAGAAGTCGGCCCGTAGCAGACGACGCGTAGCCTCAGCAGTGCTCTTCTCCGACAGCGTTGCTAAAAAATGGCGGTCGTCTCCTCTCTGCTCCCTTCTTTCTCTCTCGCTCCTTCGGCGCTCTCCTCCCTTTCATTTTCTTTTCTCCTCTCCGGCGCCTTCGTCGCCACACCCACTGGCCAAACTCTCCCAATATACTGCTTTGCCGAGCAGGAACACCTTTTCCTGCAGAGCGCCGTTTTGCTCTGCAAGTTGGCTTTCCCCTAAGAGAGGTTGCTTCGTTGGGGGAAGCCAGCTAGCAGAGCAAGCTGGCTTCTTTTGCTTTCTTTTTCCGGGCGGTCGCGTCAATCGCTTGGAAGAAAAAAATAATATTCTCTTTTGCGGACGGAGCGGGGAGAGGGAGCACCCTCTCTTTGCTCCCTCCACAAAAGATATTTTTCTTTTCTTCCAGACAATCAACGCAACCGCCCGGAAAAAAAAAAAAAAAAAAAAAAGCCAGCGTGCTCTGCAAGCTGGCTTTCCCCCAATGCGGCCGCTCGCGTTGGGGGGAAGCCAGCTTGTAGAGCAAAACGGCGCTCATGGCAGTTCGATATGTCGGTAGCGGCTGCTATTTTTGTTCGATGTAACCGTAGTTTTTGCTATATGTTATCACTGTAACATTACTGTGCACAAAAATTGTTTGGCATATGGAATAATTCTATGTAAACGGGTTCGACATATGTCAGGTTTGACTGGATTTAGAAAGGTCGAATAATTCAATATTGTTGAATACTTAATTTCGATTCAAAGCAAATGCCGAATAGAACAGAAATTCGATTGGCTATTCATAGTAACCGGATATTCGCCCATCCCTAGAAAACTGGCTTGGTGGCTTGCTAAATTGGACGCTATTCGAGACTCTGGGATTCGAAAATTGGAGATGCATTGATTGCGGCAGTGAAAAAAAAAAGTCAAAATATTGGTGCCCGTTGTGGGGGGTGCGTTTATTATGCGAGTGCATTTATTATGCGAGTAAATATGGTAGTCGCAAATTTCGCCGACTTCAATATGTCCAGGTTGAGGACTCTGGACACACAATGGCTATCGGAGTTGAAAGAAATGTAAAGAAATAGCCAGCCATATTTTGATCTATCGATCAAAACAATCATTTGCAGAACTGAGATGTACAAGAAACAGTGTGCTTTTAAAACGTTTTATTGTACCCTCCGATTAACCACGCAACGCCGCGTAATTTGACGTCGTGCAATGTGGTCATGGGACGTCTTGGTTTTAAATTACGGTGTCAAGTAATGTCACATCACAGGCACACTGTAGTGCAACACCGAGGCATCGTGTGGTACAGTCATGCGACAGTCTCCAGGCGCATCCTGCTCATGGGGATACACTGCGGCCTTTGTTGCGCGGCCACAGGTCCGATGGCGATGATCCGCTTCCAGCTGTGGTGCCTGGGTAAAGACTATGTGGACCAGCTGGTCCGCAGGATGCAGAGTGCAGTGCAGCATGCCTACTGGGACGTGCTCATGGAGTACCAGCTGCTCACCTGTCCCGTGTTCCAGGAGCCCCACGACGAACCCGCCTGCTTCAGTGAACCCCCGACGCCTGTCAAAGGTAACGGGTGCTGTGAGGTTCGTGTAAAACACGACGGCATTTATGGGGCCAGCTCTGGCGCTCCGTGTCCAAGCCTGGGAAGTAGCATCGATGGTGTGTGCAGCGCAGAGTGTGTAGTCGCCGATTGCATGTGGACTTTGGCATGGTGTCATGTAACATCATTAAGTCGGGTGACACCATACGTCATGTGACACTGATGTCACGTGACATAGTGTGACACTGCGACGTTACGTACCATAGTGAGGTCGCATGACACTGTTACAGTGCAATCCACTTATAACGATAGTGAGAAAACCCGAAATTTAAATTGTTATAACCGATTATCGTTGTATCTGGACCAGAAACTGATCATTTCCAGTCTAGAAGCTCTAGAAACTGATCGTTATGGGCGGTACATTGTTCTATGTGATATCGTTATAAGTGGATCGCACTGTATAACCCGACACTGCGAGGTCATGTGAAGTATCGTCACTTGAGGTCTTTTCGCAACACTGTGACATGACATAGTGACATCACATGACGTTATGGTTAGTTTGCAGTGTGATTGTGCATATTCTGTTTGCAACAAAGCGTGCAACGCTGTCACTGCAGTTCATTTGCAAAACATGATATAAAACCTTTTCTCAATTTTATTTACTTTTTGCACAGTGTGATGTTTAAATGTCTTGAGCCGAATTTTGTTCTTGTCTTTCTCCGCTTTGGCGCATTTGGCATGCAGTGCGGCGGACGGGTCGTGTGGTGGCAGAGCAGGTACGGGACAAGCCGTTCCTTTTTGGGATGTTTGCGTCGCGGACAAAGGAGATGTCGTCGTCGGTGCCGGACATGACTGAGAGGATCAAGTCGCCCAAGGAAACGTCTACCGAGTTCAATGTGGGTGTCCCCTTTTCTATTGACACGATGTGCCAACCTTCATCTTTTGGCTCATCCAGCTTCGCCTGCATCTTTGCCATAGCTAGTCCATTTAGAGTGGGAGCTTTTTAAGTGAAACATAGAGGTACAAGGAAAAACTGTTTCAATTAGCAGAAGTTCTCAGCTACTACAAGACTAAGAGAAATAAGAGAGAATGTGTAGCTGAACTGGTGAACTTCCACTCGGCACACACAAAGGTCTCGAAACCTTCGTATGTACCTGTCTGTATACGTGTACTGTCCCCCGTTTTGTTTCTCGGTCTTGGCTTTTCAAGACGTAGAAGGCTACTTTGAAGACATGGGAAATCCAACATTGATTTTGTCATTTTTCCTACATCAAAACTTCCGCATTGGAGCACCCGAAGTTTCTGTCTGCTAGCAGCTCAGCTCCTTTTTGTTCTGCGTTTTGGACGCTAGGCACCGTGAAGTTCTGATGCCACGGTTGTCAGCAAACTGCTGTGCCTGTAGTCACACACGTTTGCACTCTGTCTTACAGTTCTCGGATGCACTGTTCAACGAAGCGGGGCCTTCGGTGCCAACAATGATGCACCTGAGCCCGGGGAGGTCGCTGGACGCAGAGTCTGCGCCGACGGACGACTGGACCACCGCTGGCGCCAAGAAGCTGAACCCCGCGTTCCATCAGGCCGTTCGCTCGTTCTTGGAGGGCGGCGTTGCAGTCGGCAAGTTCTCCGTCTTCTGCTCTTTTTCTCCGGCGAAATGTTGGCCATGTTGGATTTTAATTAAAAGCAACCGTGTGCATCGCACCTTTAGACAGAAGTTTTCAGCAGCGGGAAGCTCTAGGTGAGAAATTTGGTCAATGCAGCATTGTGCAGAGGTGGGTTTTTCTTTAATGTGCTTCGTGCAGTAGCAATACACGATCGCACGTCGGTATGATGCTGATCCAGGTCAAAACGGGCAGAGGTAGGGATCGAACCCAAGATCCCTGGGGGAGTTTGCTGGTGAATGCAGATATCTTTCCTGGTGGCTAAAATCCCCGCAAGAGAGATTTTCTGGTCACATGACCGGCTTCACGGGGACGAGGTACCTATTAAATAAACCCTGCGCCAACTGTTTTCTACTACGTTGTCGAGGCGCGTAGCCTCCCCGGTGCTGGAGGTCGGCGCCGCTGCGAGAGCAAACGACTTTGTCTTGCATCTCGTTCGCATGCATTCTCGTGCAAAAGAGTCAAAGCCACTAGCTTTGACGGCGTTGGATTGTTGTGGAAGCTGTGGCAACCTCGATTATGCAGCGCAGAATAGTTGACGTTGAGACGGGCAAATGTCTGCCGCAAGTCCGTCCTTGCTTTGGTCGTTTGAGTCCGCGCTTGCGCGCAAGAAGAGGGAGAACAGGCCTGGAAATGCGAGTGAAATAAGCGGCATTTGTGTACTTTGAGAGCTTCGTGTAAAGTTATTTCTGGAGAAGATTGTGTTAGGGGGGGACACTACCCAGAAGAAAAAAAAATTCTGCGAAAAACATTGATTTTGAAAAATTGCATATTTACATCCACCAACATCTAGAGAGTATTCCCGGAATTTTTTACTAGTTTACACTGCATAGTTAATTTTTTATAAATTATTTTCTTTCCACTGAAACTAAAGAAAAGGTAGGGTTTGTAAAATTGGTTTGGGCGATCTGAAAGTCGACTTAAAACTTCGATCGAATTTGAGCATCTGACCTTGCTGTCTCAGTGGCTCTGAGACAAAGCGTCAGCCTATGAATCAGCAGGAACTGGCCGAGGTGCCTGTATTCAGAACCAGATAAACGCTTGGGGTGGTGTGGGTGCCGTGCAACCAGAATTTCGGTTCTGCACTTTGGGATCTCTTTTCTCGAAGAGGTAGCTTGGCGTTGGAATATTGAGGGGGTAGATTTGTCTCCAAAGCATACTTCGGACAATTTTTAAGTGTGACGGGTTGTTTTAACACGAGGGAATTCTCGTTTTTATCAGGCGTTCCGAGCCTCTCCGTTCACCCATGCACGGTAAAGGCTCGTCGGGCGATACCCCTGGTCCTCAAGGAGCTCCAGCACGGGCTCAAGAACCTGGCGCCCGAGATCTCGCTTGCCATGTTCGCGGAGGAAAGCGGCAAGGGGAGGCGCATCAGCCGGCACCCCGAGTTCATCAACTTCAACCCGCTGAACAAGCTGAGCATGGTGAGTGCGGCTTGAGCGTTTTGTGCATCTTGGACCTTTGCTCTTCGAGCGTTGTCTCATATGTGGGCAACGCGAGGCTTGCCAAAATAAGTGGGAAAACTGAGCTTGATGCTAGAAGCAAGAGCCGTTCTTGTTTAAGCACTTCCGACGTTGGCTTCATATTTTGCTTATACCGTTCCTTGTCGTCTTCATTTTTGTGTGTTCCCTCTATTATTTGTGAACTCGGAAAGGGTGCGGAGCAAGATGATCAAAACAGGTTTTCAAAAGAAATATGTCGCATGCGTTGATTACAGTGTGTTACTTTTTTTAACGTTGTGTTTCAGTGTATTCCCCTGTCACAGTGTATTCCAGTGCTGATGAGTGTTTTCATTTATTGCAAGTTCTCCGCAGGTTGGGGAGACCCATGCCCCAATTTCATCCTCACTGACCACTATAAATGCTGAAATTTTTTGCGGCAGAGCTGTAAGGGGCTTGTTTCTAGTATCGTGTCCGTCAGCAAACAAATGATGACACGAAACTCTTGACAGCTACCGCCATCTATAAGCGACAGCAGCAACCAGACAACCGGCTTGTCGGTTGTCTGGTTACTGCTGGTGCTCATAGATGGCGCAACCTTTCCAGCCTTTCCACTCTGGCTTGCCAACTCGCAGCCGGCCATTACTTCATTCCCACTATAGTACAGCTTCGCTGGTCTTCCTTCTTCCCTAAAATAAAAAGGCTGAAAGCTCTTTTTTTTTTTTATTGACATTGAGAAGTGTTATTTAAAAATGTTGAATCTCAGGAGGAAAAATTAACCCTGGAAAACGAGCTCTAATTTGAAGAAAGGTAAACCCTGGAAACATGTAACCATACTTATAGATGAAGGGCTCAGTCGGCTGCTGACAATGTTGTAACTTCCAGTTTCCTGAGAAACACGTGGAAGGCGTGCCCCCCGGCAGCAGCCAGCGCTTCATTGTGGTTGGCCGAGACGTCGCCCAATGGCAAGCCTTCATGGGGGTGGCCAGCCTCTCTGCCTTCTTGGAGACCTCTCGCGTCACCAAGAGTAAGTCCGGTTTCTGTATGCTTTGTTGGTTTGAAAAGGCTAGTTGTAGACTCGGTCCTAAACATAGTGAAATGTAGCTTTGAGACTCTGGCGAGAGGAAGACAAAAGGAGCCTCACTTAAAACCTTAAATCGCTGCCGTCACTACGCTGATTCTCAACGAAATGCATTAGCATATTTAGTGCAGTGGTTCCGACTCCATGAAGGATGAGAATTCCAACCTCGCAACGGTCGGGATACTGTTGTCTTCGGAGAGCCAGTCTGTTCTCCTGGGCGTCGGCAGTTTCAGATGCAGCCACCACAGCTTCCCTCAATCGCTGCCTATGGTCCACTACTGTTGTTATGGGGAAAAGAACACGACCGAATCGATTGGTGCTCGGGCTCCGACTGCCCGCACGTTTTTAATCTGCGCGTGACCCGCGTCACGGAGCTCGTGACCCGAGCTCCGTGCTGCGGCCATTGTTGCGGGCTCCTACAGGGCTCCCCCCCTGGTAACATGGATCGTAGGAGAAGAAAAACTAACAGATCCCATGCTGGCAAAAAAAAAAAAAAAAGGAAGAAGAATAATGAGTAGATTCGGTTCTGACATTAAAGTACAAGAAAAGCTATATGGAGCTATGTGGCCCATGAGACGCGCTTTCTTGTGGGAGGGGTCGTGTTCGCTCGCAGAGACAGTAGGTGTTCTGTGGATGGAGACTGGTCCTTAAATTCTTGAAATGCAGGCTTGAGTCTGTCCATCGCTATGGTTTCTGTATGTCCGTTGACGTCTATAGTCGGATGCAACCTGAGAACAATCTTTTAGCTCCACCCACAAGCGCATTGCGCCCATCTGAAGTGCGTCCGCCGTCGAGAAAGTAGTTCGCTAGCAACGTTGCTTTTTCTTCCTCCAGGAAACGTGTCTTAAACTACTACAATATTTATTTAATTCATTCTGGACATTTAAATAATTTAGAATACGTTTTTGTCAACGAAATAGCTGTTTAGTAAAGAAAGAAAGTCATGTCCAATGTACCGTCTTCCCAATTCATTTTCTGTCCAAGATACTGTCTAACATACCGTCTAACATACCTCTCAGCAGTGCTAAGCCTCGCGCCCGCTTCGAAATTTTCGTTGGCGATAGCGTCGCTGGATTCTCACGTTGTCGCGCAAAAGCTGCTGCAAACGCAAGCCGATACCATTAAGATTTCGTGGCGTAACCTCGGGCACGTGAGTGAGTGAGTGAGTGAGTGAGTGATTTATTTGCACTTAAATTGGTGCGCACACGGCGGCGTGCCAGGCAAAGCAGATAGGCAAAAACCCTTACGCGTGTGCGCCTGCCAGCCTGCCGCCGTGTGCGTTGGGAGTTACAGCACTACCCAGCTTTAGAAGCGTTAAAATTATGATGGAAGTGATGATGGAGGTGGTGGTGATGACGATGATGTTGCTGATGACGATGGCGATGGTGATGATTATGATTCGGGAGGAAGAGGGGGTGAGGGAGTGAAGATCATGATGGCAGCAGATGCGAAGGCATTAGTCTAGCGAATACCTTGCAAAGTTCCCGGGATTCATCGTGCGACGTGGGCAGAGGGCTACGAGAAGCTAATGGTATGGTCAAGAAGTCTCTAATGGCGGCAGGCAGCAGGGATTCAGTGTGACGAACAGTCCTGCCTCGAAGAAGTTCGGGCTGACCTGATCTTCTACCGAGACGTACGGCTGCCGATAGGCGAGTCCCCGAAAGAGATCCGTCGAGCAATCGGCACAGCACGCGAACTCGAGAAATCCGCCGTCTCTAATCGAGGGGCCACCAGCCAAGGGTTCTGAGCCGCGTGTGGTGCGGCACGTCGGTCGTGCCAGGGGACCAGGCGCAGATTTTGCGGGTTGCGCGGCGCTGCACACTCTCCAGTCTCTCGATTAGGTGTTGTTGAGGGGGAGACCAAACTGCAGAGCAGTATTCCAATGAAGGCAGGACTAAGGATGTATATAGTGCCTGCAGGACCGCCGGCCCACCTGGCCTTGCGATGCGGGTGATGAAGCCAAGCGTCCTGCGGGACTTCGCGATAACGCCGGCAATATGTACGGAAAAATCCAAGTTTTGGGAAAACGTGACACCCAAGATGGACAGGTGGTCTGATGCGGGTAAGGGAGTGCCTTCTACAGTATATACAGGGCTTGTCGGTTTTTTGCAGTTCGAGAAACGTATCACGGAACTCTTTGATGCGCTCAGGCTTAGGTGCTGTCTCGAGATCCATCTCTCTATATCTTCTAGATAGCTTTGCAAGTGACGTGCGTCAGACTGGGACGAAATTGTCGTCGCGATCGATGTATCGTCCGCGTATTGCACTAGAATACACTTGTCGTTGCGTGGTATGTCGTTCACGTACATGAGAAAGAGCGTCGGAGCGAGGACAGAGCCCTGTGGCACTTTTGATGAGATGACCCTCTCTGTAGAGCGTGCCCCACAGTACACAACTTGTTGGCTGCGGTTCCGCAGAAACCTTGATATCCAGGTGAATAGGAAACCGTGTATGCCTGCGTCTGTGAGCTTCTCAAGCAGGAGATTAATGTCGAGCGTATCGAACGCATTGCTTAGGTCAAGTTGGATTAGATCTGTCATGGTTCGATTATCCATGTGATCACTGATAAAATGGGTAATAGTTGCCAGTGCTGATTCGCAGCTGCGACCTCTTCGAAAGCCGTGCTGACTGTCGGAGAGATAGCCGGATTCTTCAAGGTGGTTGAGAAGCTGGCCGTTGACTATCCTTTCAAATGTTCGACAGACAGTCATGGTGATTGACACAAAACGGTAATGTTTTGGTTCATTCGTCGGCTTCCCTTTTCCTTTGCGACCAAAGCTCGTTGCCACGTTCCTGGCACAGTACCGCTGTCGAACAGCCCTTGGAGAATCTGGCACGTGGTCGGTAGCATTAGCGGACAGAGCCGTTTGAACCACGTCGGCGCGATACCGTCTGGACCGCAGCTGTGAGAGGGCTTGATTTTGGAGAGCGCCTCCTGTAAAGACTCGGTTGTGAAGGACACAGTGTCAAGTTTCGACTGGGCGAGGCTTCCCACCCTTGTTGTCGAGGGTCGCGCTGCGGGGATGTCGGGGGCATCAGCGTAATGTTCGTTGAGCAAAATCAGTCCAGGGTGATTCAGGGATGGGCCATTGTTGTTTATACACTCCGTGCGACGCGACTGGCGCGCCGCCGCGCGGCCGGTACCGAAGGCAGGCAGCGAGAACCCCAGAGAAAACGAAACCGAAACCACGCCGCGTACGTTGGTACGCATTGAAGTCGGAGTGGTGCGGTTGCGCTGGGTTCACAGCATGAAGTGCTGCCTTTGCTGCGTCATTAAGTGCTTTAATAGTTATGCGTCGTATCTCGTGGAGACAAAGTTTCACAGTTTTTTACCTCGCCGATGTTTTGTGGGACAGCGACAACGATGGAGCCGTGCCGTACGACGTGAGAAATTTGGTCTCCCGATCATGTCTGCCACTGTGTCGGTACGGCTGACATATTCTACACTGCCGCTTTGCGCTCTGCGTTTGTTTTCGTACCAGTAACGCCTACATGTGTCAGCGCCGATGGGACGAACCCACACTCGCAGGTATGCAGTGCCAATTTCGTTGGAGGAATGCCCTCCAAAGAAGTTTCGTCCCCATCGTACGTGTCGATGATATTTCCAGACAAGTATGGCACGCAATCTGTACTTCATGAAAAAAGATTCGAAAGGTAAAAAAAGTGACAAATATAAATCTAAAGAAAACAACAATGAAACTCGGAATCACTGGAGAATCGACGTTTGAGTATGGAAGTTTATGTGGTGTGCTTTCTTTCTTGACCAGCCTCCTTTTGGATGTGGAAACGCTGACACTCCGAGTTCTGTAGACAACATTTTTTTTTTTCTTGGCTTTAGAGCCACCTATTGCAAAGTGGTTCGAACTGGAAGTACCGTCCACTGGTCCCTTCCTACCTGTAAAGTGTGCACCTCCCACGATGAGTGGTATTATCTGACAGCCTTTGACGGTCAAAGCCAGTTCCCATTTAGTTACGCCGCCCAAACTAAATTTCCACCTGGTTTCGCTATGCCAACTCTTTTTGTTATAATAAGTGTTGTGCCAAGTGACGGTCATGTCAAAGTACCTGTGCGCCGAAAATCAGCACCTCGCACAACAGGTTATTACACAACAGCTGGCCGCAAAAGCCCTTGGCGGCCAAACCGTGTGTTGGCCGACAACTTTGTTTTCTCGGCTTTGGAACCACCTTTCGTAAAGTTGTTTCAATTGGAAGTACAGTCCACTAGGCCCTTCCTACCTCTAAAGTCTCCACCTCCCCCGACCAGTGGTATTCCCTTGACAGCCTTTTCATGATCAAAACCGGTTCGCATTGAGTTACGCCGCCCAAACCAAATTTTCACCTGGTTTCCCTATGCCACCTTTTTTTTGTATAATAAGTGCTGTGTCATGTTACTGTCAAGTCCAAGCACCTGTGTGCCCAAATCTGCACTTTGCACAGCCCGCTATAACACAACATTTTGGGTCCAATATTGGATATCCCGTACAGCTTTATTTCTTTATTCGTTAGAAACATAACTGCCACACCTGCTGTCTTAAAGAAACTTGGCTCTCTTCGTGCACAAACTTAGTGAACCTCTCACTCGCCTCCAAATATCATCGTTCCAGCAGTTTTAGGTTTACAGCGACGAGCGAAATAAATTTCCCACTCAGAGCAATTAAGGTGGCGGCCGTCTTGTTTTTCGGAAAATTACTCCAACTCCTTTTTCGGCCGCAACTAGAGAAATTACCCCTAATGACGACTCAAACTCAATATATAAGAAGTGGAGAACAGCTAAATGCCCTTCTGCCCCAGCACTCATGCAACGTCACCCTCAATGTATCGGCTCAAAAAGCAAAAGTTTCGTCCGTGCGCGCTTCCGCCGCCATAGCTTGGCATGCGAAAAGGCGCCGCAGGCTGCTGAACGCGCCTCACAGTCGAACGCCAGCTCCTCCGCTAGCGGCGCTGCG